ATCCTTTCTTTCTTAATACCCTTTCTGCAGTTCCCCCCTCATGCAGCAGAAAACTATTCATAGGTTATAACTAGTAAGAGCCAAAGAGACTTCAAGAGAGCTACAGAAAGGTAGGTAGGTAACTAGGAGGGGAGGGAGAGAATGAGTCATAGCTCGTCCCACAGGACTGAGTGGGTTGGCTGAGTGGAGGAGGATGGCGTCAGCAGTAGGCCTGACAATTTAAGAAGACACATTAAAAGAGACGGAGAGCTAACACTTCAAAGTGGGTGGATGGAGAGAGAGAGAGAATTGATGGGAGGGGTTGTTGTGGAAGGCAGGAAGGGGTATCCTCTAGCATTGAGAGGGGGAGGCAAGGAGAATGACAGAGAGAGACAAATATGGAAGAAGAGAAATCCTGTCTTCCGCTGCATTTCGCCGTTCATGTCCCCCTCGTCTTTTTGTCTTGTGTCCACTGTCCACCCTTCAGGATGTTTTTTCTCCATATCTTTGCTGCTGTCATCAAATACGTTTCCTGCCTGTTTTTTCTCAACGATTCAGACACCTTACAACTTGTATATAGCTCACAACAGAACATATATACAGTATCCTTTAATTGTCTACGTGTATTAATATTTGAACAGTTTTGTTGTGAAAGTGCCTGGACAGTTCTTCTAAAGTCCCCAGTGCTCTGCCAGCCCCCCACCCCTCCCTCCCTGTGTACGATTGTGCAACCAATGCAAAGGGGAATCCTCTCTGACAGAGACAGACAGTGGTACGCACACACTGCGAGCGCCGCCGATATATAATATGTGCAGGCACTGAGCTTGCACAAACCCTGCCATTGCTACACACACATCAGCCTCCACTCCGCGAAGACACAACCTTGCTGCCTTTTGTGAAATGGGTTCTCTCTGACGTCAAACAGAAAAGCGAGGCGCCGAATTGGGTCGGACTGCCTGTGTGTGTCTCTCCCACTGCTGTCTGTGGGTTTGTACGTGCTCGCTCTGCGCTTCCATTCACCTTCCTCTTCCATTCAGCTTGTGCAGAGAAAATGGAGAGGCACGTCTGCTACGCAGGCTTCTCCATTATGAAATTGGAAATCCTGCAATGAATGAAAGTTATAACTGGTAATAGTAGTAGCTCGCAATCATCATCCACACATCTGTGGGAATTGCTCATTCTTTGTTCACTTACACTCTGGCTGTCATTAACCAGAAATAGCAGATAAACACACTTTTATCTGTCAGTCTTTACTGGCTATACTGTCATTTACTGTATTGCACGATTATTAGCTAAATAATCTCATACTGTTCCTTTTTTGTAGTGAGATGTTCCTCCACGTTGTTTTTCCTTACATTGTGCCAGTGGATGAGAATTGGTCAATGAATGTATTGATGCAGGAAATGTAAGTATAAAAACCCCAAAGCTTATTATAAGTTCCCAGAGTCAAAGGTATCCTCTTATCATTTCCCTGGACAATTCAAGTATTTTTTTTGGTATTATTATTATTTAGGAATGAAATAACGTAATTGATAACAGCACAACAGTGTAGATTAACTTTGAGCGTGTTGTTAAAACCACAAATGAATTCATATATATTGGTATTTTGGGCAACTAGCAAGCTGTGTTTTTTTTCTCAACCTGTATCGTGAACGAGACTTTAGTTATGTGATCAGTTTCACCAGCTCTTTACTTCCTTTACTACCATGCAGTGGAATTCCTCTCATCTCTCTGGCTTGCCCTGCTGCTACTTATTGCAGAGACCCTGACCCAGCTTGAATGTTGAGGCGGGAACGATTCATCGAATATTTGAATATTAAAAATTATTCAGGTATTCGAATATGAGTTATGAATATTTTAGATGTTTTTTTTTTGGGAGGGATGCCTAAGTTGATTACATATTATCAAATGGAATAATTCAATGTATACGACAGTGCCATAGCTAAGTGTGTTAGGTCTAAAGGTGTGTGTTGCTCCGCTCACCGGTCCCTCACAGCGGGCAGAGCTGCAGGTGCTGATCTCTCTCTCTCGCGTCCGGTTATACTTCACTCGCGTTTAGGTCCAAATCCATCAGATCTTGTTCTAGCCAATGATATGGCTGCTGCCCCTCCCTACACGCAGATCACGCAGACTCAAACCTCATCTTATGCCCACATTCCAGCTGAGAGGGTCTACAGCTGGCCTGATTGTGAATCGTCTCCGCACCCGCCTCTCCCCTGAGTAGACATGCTCATATTCTTAAACAAGAATGATTATTGAATAGCTACATTCTGTGCATAGCCCTGTTATAGGTTGTTGATCTCTGTTGTAATAAGGTTACGTTACCCTAACCCGTTATGTTGATCCCTCTTTCATTTAAAAACAAGTTATGTTTTAAGCATGAAAGCTGTAGGCCTATAGCTGTCAACAGTTCAATACATTTGACAAATTCGACTTGGTTTCTATACTTATTTGAACATGTATTTATTTATCTTTCAAAATTAAAAATATATATATATTTTTTTGTAAAACAGTTTCCCACATTTTGTATAGGATATGTACATTTCGGTTAATCGGTTGACCGTTTTTTTGGGGGTCGAATATTCGAATATACATTTGCTTTCAAATGCCCATCCCTAGCGGCTAGCCTACTATCTGAAGTGGGGATTTACATTCTCTGCACCTTAACCCACACACACATACTCACAGTGGTGACCAGACAGATAGTTTGCTCGATGTCTTTCACTGCTTCACACTCCGCTGGCAGTCTTTGGTGTGGTAACCGGACACAGTGGGCAGGGCAGAGCCCCAAGTGTCGCTGGTTGCCTGTCATCAGAAGGGTCCATGTAAGAGGCTGTGAGGTTTGGTATTGAGTGTGCGGTGGGTCAGCGTGCCCTGCACTACACTACAACAGCTGATGAGGATTCTTTTGTGGGTGTTGTATGTCGACCATCTATGTGCTTACCCGTGTGAGTGTAATGAGGTCGATGGGGAAAGTTTCCCCTGTCATTTTGTAGGAAGCTGTTTTTTATTTTTGTTCTGATAAATATTTGTATCTCTAAATATTCAGAGTCGCTTTCACAGGAGGGAAACTTGTACAGGCAGTCCTGACAAGGTTCCATACTGATTTAGTATTACTCTTTAGGTCAAGAATTGTGTAATACACGTTTGGGTGTTTCTAAAAATGGTCATTAACACAAATAAATCATGTTCCTTTGTTGTTTGTGAACTGGCCAAGTAGTACATTTAGAGAGGTGATCAACTTGCTTGATCAAAGCATCCTGCTCTATAACACCAGCCAGCATGTTAATGTGGTTTTATAAGACCAACATGATAACCCCTTTTAGTTATGACGTAACCGGCCAGAATCCTGTGTGAATCAGCTCCCCTCCTGCATGTCTGCACCCTCATGGCATGATGATGGCAGAGAGATGCCAACATCAGGCCCATCGACACACTGACTGAGCTGGGACACAACAGGCAGTGCAGCTGCTGCTATGATTTCTAATGACCTGAATGACTGCAATTCCTCATTGTTGGAATTGTTCTACGTATGTTATCACATACGTAGAATGTTCCTGATTCTTAGACATCTTAACTGCAGCAAAAGCATTACCTGGCATCATGTATTTGTTGCATCCTCCCTTGTTCTTCCTGCATCCCTCTCAGTATGTGCACACTGAAGTCCACATATTTATTTTTAATATCATTCTTCGCCCTGCTACTCGCTCAACACAAATGGCAGCAGTTGAGTATGACGTTCCCATCTCCTTGGCAACACTGTAGGCTGGTTTGTGTGTGTGTGTGTGTGGTGAGGGAAGCGGGAGGGAGTGTTGAGGAGAGAACTGAGGAAACATAAGAGAGGCATGGGTGGAGGAGGAGAGAATGGGTGAATCTGGTTTATTCATAAGCACCCCATTTCTGGCTCTGATTCACAAATTGTCCTGCAGCCGCTCCCTGCCATTGCTATGACATCGGTCCGCTCAGCAATGCGATTGACACTCTTTCTAAAACAGAACCATTCATTCTTGTTGTGCAAAAACACACTTTATATGTATAAGCTAGCAAAAGGAGGTTTTTTTTCAAAGACACTGTCAGTGCATAGTTTGTCTGTATTCTGTGATGCTGTATTGCTGGCTTATATAAGCAGAGCGAGGTTGGGGCATGTGGGTGTCCTGGTCAGTGATGTGTTGTAAAGCTGATGCCGATGACGCCCTTGCTGTTGCATTGCCTGGGTCTCCCCACACTGGGAATCCCTGCCCAGTCTGTTCCCTCATCTCATCTATCCGGCAGCACAGCAGTACAGGCAGGGACATGCATGACTGGCGCTCATCCGTGCTGCATGCATTCAATCCAACAATCACGCCTCTGATGCCTTTGTATTCACTTGTGCTTCATCACACTATGCATGTGCGCATATGCAGCTGTTGGCCCTGTGATACCAGGTGATGTAGGCTTGTAGGCCATATGGATTGCTTTTCATCTGTGTTTGTGTACTGTACTGCCTAAGGCATCTTAGTAACGGCTTCATAGCAAGAATTTACCCCAAAGCTGCTTGCAGTTCTGTCTCATCTTTGTCCATGTTTGAGAAATGGGTTTAATGATGACAATGACAGGATGGGAAATAGAGAATACTATTAATGAATAGGATATGCTACAAAAGGGTTTTTTGATTGGAAGTTTGAATAAGATGAGCTTGCAGCTGCACAATAAAGGAGAATGAGGGTTTGAAAGGGAATAGTTGAGTGTTTAAGTTGTATGTTCAACCAAAGCTGGTCAGAAGAATGTACTACCATCTTCTAAGTTATGCTGCTAGTTTAAATTCTGGGGAAGAAACCCATTTTGAAATAGTTCTCTCTCAGAAAACACCCATTTTCCATTCATAAAGAGTGTTGCCCACACTCTAGAGATCTGCAGCCCTGTGTGCTCAGAGCTTCCTGCTGCTTTGTCCCCTCCCTGCTAGAAGCAGCAGCAGCGATGAGTCACTCGGTGTGTGAAACATGACGTCATTCGTGTCTTCCTCTTCTGTTCTTGTTGTCCAGGGCTCCTGACTGGAGGACAGACCATGCTGCTGCACTGAGCCGGAGGGAGAGAAAAGAGAGAGGCACCCCGGAGGACGCTGAGGTGGTAGCTGGCCTGTTGGTGTGCCCCTCCCCCTTGCCTGACTGGCTAGCTGCTGCCTCTTCAGTTCACCTGATCGCTGTAAATATTGCTGCCTTTCTTTGTTGTGCATGTGGACCATCTTTTATTATTGTTCAACTAAAGATGTGTCTTTTGTTGTGATGTCACGAAACTGGAATTTCAGTAGATTATACGATATCAATATATATAATACCCTTTTTGATACACTAGGGGAAAATTGAAACAAAATTTAAGAACATTTATTTTTGAATTTGTGTGTCGCGGAAAGAGGAGGGAATCTATGTATTGAATAATCGCTATATCATTTTTAAAACCCTTGTCTTTTGCAGTGAGTTTGCACTCATTCTTTAACATCTTGATACTTTTTCATTTCAAAACTTATCTTGTTTTGGAAAAAGATAATATTTGATGTAGTTATTCATCCATGTAGTATTGTATATATATGTAGCATTCCTTTAACACAGTCAATTCGTTTTTTTAATACAGTTTTTCACATTTCTTTCTTCTGTGTGCTGTTTCCCCTCAGCCCCATCCCGAAGGCTGAGGCTGGCTATGGACTGCGCTTCGCCCCCTGCTGCAGCCCAGCCCAGTACACTACCTTAGTGGGTTCCCCTATCTTCCTGCGTGGTTCCCTCCAGACTCACTGTACGGAGTACAGCACAGATCTGGTACCCCCTACAGGTAGATATTATATTACTGTACACTTGCACACATACTGTATGTGTCTTTCTCTAAAGTTATTAATTGTCAAAATCTTAATTTGTCAGAACCTTGAATTCTCCTCTCTTTTCTCTTGATTTTTTTCTCCCAGCCACTCCTGGGTTCTCCACCCCACCCCGTCCCCTACTCCCAGCCTCTCCCCTTCCCCTGAGAAGATGTCGGTGAGCCTGATAACAGACATCCAGCAGGAGGGAGAGAGTGGGCCGCTCATCGAGCCCTGCAGTCGAGGAAAGACCTCCCCTCTGCCACAGGGAACTAAAGAAGGGACAGGAGAGGGCCTGGAGCCGGAGGACAGCTCCCCACAGGATGCACAGGTGAGGAACTGATAACATGAAAGGGCCAGTTGTGACATTTACAATATTTATATGATGTGTTACAACAATGTGTTTGTTTGATAATTGAATACAAAGAAGGACATTAGAATGAATTTAAAGGCTTTGCAATAACTTTACCTATTACATTAATTCGGCCCTTAGTTAAAGGTGGGGTAGGTATGTTTGAGAAACCGGCTCGAGATACACTTTTTGTTATATTCCATGGAATGCTCTTAACATCCCGATAGCAATGAATATCTGAAGTGCTTTGACAAAAAATCCACAAAAAAATGTCATCTGTTGAAGCCGTAATACTGTAAAAAGTACATCCAATCCGTTTAGCTGGGCCGGCTAAACGGATTGGATTGCCGCCCTGTCTGTCAGCCTTCCATCTCGTGCACGCACAAATGTATCTCGTGCCCTCATTGGGCGTGCCGTAATTGGGCGTGCATTGCGCGTTCATGTGTGTTGGAGGAGGTGCTCTGTAAGGAAGTCTGAAGGAAGGGGCGGATTCTTTTCGGCTGTGTACTTTCAAATTTTAGTGCACTCGAGCCGGTTTCTGAAACTTACCTACCCCACCTTTAAATTTATAGCTGCTGATTTTCTATGTGTATTCAATGTCCAGTGTTATTATTACTGTTAGTAAAATCATATATTTCTCTTGCAGAAACGGGCTCCCAATCACAGCCATGGAAGGAAAAGGGCCAAGGTAAGCCATCTCTTGTCACTGTTTTTGTTATTTTTTACAAAACCAGATATTTTCTAAACCCAAATAACATTGTAATCCTGCTCCCTATTTTAACTGCTTGCTGCTTTGTTGTATAAGATGACCTCTCCTCCATTACTAGCCTCTCAACCACAGTGCGCTTCCTGTTATCATTGGCTTAACATCTTAAGTCCCTTTGGAGGGTTAAAAGTAGTACTGTGAATGACCTAACCAATCCACAAGAATACAAAAGAGTGAATAGGCTGATTGTGCTCCCTTCACTGCATGCACCTGTTCTTTAATGCATTTAACCATTTCATATTATTTATTATTAACAAGATGCTCAGAAGTTCATTTCCATTTTTCTCGCAATTATTTTTCTCTACTGCCTAATTCTATCAATTTCCTTTGAGCTGTGCTTGTTCTAAGAAGACCGTGCTGACTTGTATCACTATTCTCACCTTTGAGCGGGGGACTTTGAAAAACTGACATTTTAAATCCATAAAAACAACTACATTTAGCCTTACAGGTAATATATATATATATATATATATATATATATATATTTGATTTTGTTTCAGTCTAATGCCAAGCTGAAGCTGGTACGGAGTCTGGCAGTATGTGAGGAGTCCTCCGGTCCGTTCTCCACTGATGGCCCTCCAGAATCGGTACTGTTTATTTCTGTAACCCCTAACTCTAACTTTCCTCTTCACCGTGTCAGCCTAGCCTGCAATTTCCTCTATGCAATGAAAGTGTATGCATTTTGAGCTATACTTAATAGAATAAAGAAAAATGGAAATGTTACCAACTTTTCTCATAGCAATGGAATGTGGTTTTCCAGGAAATTATCCAGCTTCACATCAGCTGTCCGTCAGACAAGGAGGAGGAGAAGTCCTCAAAGGACGAGTATGAGAATGAAGAGAAGGAGAAGAAGGACAAGGCTCCACGGAAGATGTTGTCACGTGGTAAGGCCAAATATGTTTTGTAGCCTGTTGTCTTGGGCATTTTGTAACCCTGAACAAGATGGGATTAAAAGCTGCTAATAAATTGAGCTATTCTTTTTCATTATTAATTCTTCTTACTCAAATACAATTAATGCGTATTAACAGTGTAATTTAAAATGTCCCACATTAATCATTTTAAAAAGGTTTTGTAGTGTCACGACTGTTACATGTAAATGTAATGTCCAGTGTATTATTAATACTGAATCTAATACCATGTCATGCTAATTTTCTTTGGAACATAATGGGATCCCTCCCTCTTCTTTTCGAATGACCTACCTCACTCCCTTTCTCTTCTGAGGCCCTCAGGCGTCATTAGAGCATCTGAGAGGAAATGGCTAGCCCAACTGTCTAGTGTAGTGAAAAATGATCCCGAAAGACTGATGGTTATGTTTATGTCAATTAAGTTGTTGCCGGTGTGTTTGGGTGCCATTTTAGAAGCTATGTTTGGAATCATTCTGACTTTGCTCTTTCTAACCTACTTTACGGAAGTGTCACTTGCTCTTACTGTACCTAACAAGTCTCCCAACGTGTTCTTACCCTTCCCTGCCTATTTACCTTTTCCATCTCTCTGTTAGACTCCAGTCAGGAATACACTGACTCCACTGGCATTGATGTCCATGAGTTTCTGGTCAACACACTGAAGAACAATCCCAGGTACGAGATTATCCACAGCTGTAATCATCAGATCAGATATTTACTTATGGGCTCACTAGGTACATACTTTAAGTCATAAAGACAAGCACTTGCACTTTCATCTCAAATTTTGCTTAAAGGGGACCTATCATGCAAAATGCGCTTTTTTTATGTCTTTTATACATAAATATGCATCCCCGGTGTGTCAGGGAACTTACGTAGCATCAGAAAATAAAACCGTCTCTCTTTTCCTCTGTACCCAAATCTCTAAAAACGGAGGTACAACGGAGCTGATCCAGATTTGCGTCCGATATGACGTCATATTGGAAATGTGGACCCACAGCACTATCAGAAACAATGCCCGACTGTTTTGGGTGTAATATGGTCGGTGTTCACATTAGCATCGCTAACACTCAGAGCTAACCTATACTGTAGAGCAGGGGTTCCCAACCTTTATTGTGCCAAGGACCGGCAGATACATACAAAAAAAATGTGTCTGTGTCTTTGTGACACTGGCATTTGTTTTCAGAAGATATTATGATAGTGACGTTCGTTCCGGTGCACGTTCGACAGCATTTAGCACTATCAATCAATCAATGTTTATTTATATAGCCCAATATCACAAATGTTACATTTGTCTCAGTGGTCTTCACAGTGTGTACAGAATATCAGTATGACAATACGACACCCTCTGTCCTTAAACCCTCACATCGTACAAGGAAAAACTTCCGGAGAAAACCCACAGTTTAAAGGGAAAAATGGGAGAAACCTCAGGGAGAGCAACAGAGGAGGGATCCCTCTCCCAGGACGGACAGACGTGCAATAGATGCCGTGTGTAAATTGAAAAGATAATACATTTGCAACATAGGTAGTCCAAATGTTTGGAAATGCATGTGTGTATAATAGGAAGATGAATCCACGAGGATTTCCATCCAGGACCTATGATCCAGGACCACAGCCACGACTCAAGATCCAGGGCTCGCGATCCAGGACACAGGACCGCAGGATCATCCATGTCTCCGGATCCCGGCGTATATAGACACCAAAAAGAAAGACATTTGGGGAAGCTGGGTTAATCGAAACATGAGAGTACACAGGTATAGACAGAGAGAAGGAAGAAGTAAGATGTCCCCCGACAAACTAAGCCTATATCAGCAAAACTAGGGGCTGGATCTAATCAGCCCTAACTATAAGCTTTATCAAAAAGGAAGGTCTTAAGCGCACTCTTAAAAACGGATAGGGTGTCTGCCGCCCGAACACAAACTGGAAGCTGATTCCACAAATGTGGAGCTTGATAAGAAAAGGCTCTACATCGAGATTAAGATTAAACTAATTTATTTTGGGAACACCCGCATATAGGCTACCTATGGAGTTAGCCAGATGTGTGTAAATTACTGTTCATTTGAAAACAAATGCCGGTGTCGGACAGACACAAACACACCGAACACACAGCTGAGCAGAACACACACACACACACACACACACACACACACATCATGCGCCTTGGTGACCGGACATATCCTTCATAAAACTAATAAAAGGGGGAGTAATCGGGCAGTTCGATGTGTGTAGAGATGTGTGTGGTTAACACGTAGCAGCCTGCAGTCACTCGCTGTTCTGATGAAGGTAAACACAGCGAAGGCGGTGCGTAAAAAGGCACAGCTCTCGGCGCGCTGGTGCTGCACTTCTCAGAGGCGGAGTTACACGTCCCGCTGCCTCCTGATGCTGCAGCCATTTCATGAAGTGAAGGAGGTTTTCCTTCTATAAAACAGCTGCGGCAGCAGATACCGTGAGAGTCCCGGATATGAATTCATAGATCAAGGCAGACTGGTTTACAGACTCTCCTGTTTTGCCAATCCGGTGCTTAAACAAATAGCTACCCCTGGCCGACATGTCCTTAAAAGAAAGTCCGAGTTTGAAATATATCTCAAATAATGTATGGACTGCCATTTCCCCACATAAACATAACAGTCTGCAATTAAACGGTTGTCTGCTGTGCGCTCCTCTTCCTACTTGGCGCACCGGTAACTTTCTCGTGCGCACGAGAGGCTGAGACCTTGAGCCGCCGAATCCCTCGGAACATCATAAAAGCCATTTTCAACGGTTTTCTGGTGAAAGATTAACTAGGCTACTGGATAAAATAATATCACTGGTATAGGTGCGAAAATTAAACACTTTTTGAAAAAAATATTATCATAAAATATTTTTACATATTTATAATTCTGCAAATATTACGATAAACTCAGCTATTTCGCGGCCCGGCAGTAACACCTCCGCGGCCCGGTACCGGTCCGCGGACCGGGGGTTGGGAACCCCTGCTGTAGAGCATGTGTGTGAAGAAGCTGGATATCAAAAGGAACTCACCTTGTGGTATAACCGGCAAGAGAGAAAGCCTTTGAGCTCCATAGTGTTTCAGAAATAATCCTTGATAATCCATGATATGGCGTTTCATCACCGCAGAACCTGCCGGTAGAATCTCCCGCATGAGCAGACATAAGCTCCACCCCTCTTTTTAAAATCTTTTTTTTTTCTTTTTTTTTAAAAAAGCTTTATACCCCAAATCAGCACTTTTGAAACAGGAAGTGAAATAGAGGGATATGAGGCATGGCTAGAATGGGTGATCTGTTTGGTATTTTGAGCAAAACACTTCATAGACATGTTGTTTATATATTTGTATTTATCTGAGCCTAAAGATAGCATGCTAGGTGACCTTTAAGGCAAAATGTTATGCAGCCTGGTTGCATTGATGCTAATATGCAATAACGAATGCAACATGTAAAAGCAAAATACCCGACAACTTATAAAGCAATAACATTGTTTGTTTTACTGTCTAAGCCAAAGGTTAATATTCCAGGAGGAACAATGCATTGTTTGCACAGTATTTATCCTCCATCCTCTGTACCAGTATTCAGATTAGTTGTTGATGTCAAGTGTCTTTTAACCCCCACAAATCAAAACATGATTGCTACCAGTATTTTAAAGAAGGAAGGACTAAAAACACAATTTTGAAAAATATGTATTGGGAAGGACCACCATTTGTAATACATTGTCATACAAAAATTCAACACTATATATCATACCTTTTTTTATCTCTGTTTGGTATGCTCGCTGCACTCTAGTCACTGACACACTCCCCCCTCTGATCTCTCCCGTCCTCTCTCTCTCTCTCCCTCTCCCCCTTTGGCCCAACAGGGATCGAATGATGCTGCTCAAACTAGAACAAGATATCCTGGAGTTCATTAATGACGACAAGTAAGCCACGTTCTCCTGTATTTAGATTTTCTACAGCCATCCTTTTTATTTATAGATTCCTGAGCTAGTAAGATAAATATGGCATGTAGTAGTTGACTTTCTTTTTAAGTTTAGCCAGACAGTGCTTTCTAGCTTTGGACTCTGTGAACCCCTGTTAGCAGAGCAGTGCAAACTCAGAGAGGAACATTATGTAGGGAACAAGACAACAGAAGAAAATCCAAGGTTACAAGAATGAATAATTGGAGTTTTTACCATTTTTATTTCAGACAGCCTGGTGTTTTGCCCAAGCCCTTAGAATGCAAATCCATTTGTTAGCAGAACAAACCTAAGAGGGTTATGTTCTCAAAATATTTTAAATGCTGAAAATAAATGTACACATTACAGCCTCAAACAATAGAGACATAGTTTACCAATTAATGGTAATGCTGTGGTTCTTTTCTTTTTATACTCTTAGTACTTTTAATTTTACAGATTGGATATTAAACACATTTTGCAGTGTAGTATTAACATATCATATGTTAATCCATCTTTTGTGTCCTCCGCAGTAACCAGTATAAGAAGTTTCCTCAGATGACGTCCTATCACCGCATGCTGCTTCACCGCGTGGCGGCCTACTTCGGCATGGACCACAACGTGGATCAGACGGGAAAGGCTGTCATCATTAACAAGACGGGCAACACTCGCATGTGAGAGCTGCTCTTGACTTTGGTTCAGACTTCAGCCGCTGTAGTCTAAATTATATCTTATTCCAATGATTATAGGTATGCAAAGAATGTACTAAAATGATTCCAGAATTTATAAAACAGTCAAAGAAACATTATACTTTAATCAGACATTTCTTAATACAGGGATTATAATGGTGTCAATAGGGGTCTAGGTAGGGGCTTTTGTATCCAAATGAAATCCAGAAGTAATGTAAACACTCTTAGACAACACACAAAAACAAACATTGCTGTTACAACCATATGGGTAGTAGAAGAATCCCAAAACTATACACTTTGTGTGAGCAGGATGAAGAACCACCTGAACCAAACACTTGGCGAGCAGCAAAATGTAATCCAAGGGAAGGTTTGTTTAAAAGCTGAAAGCAGCATCACCGCGCCGGAGGAATAAACACCAGTTAACAGTCATTGATGAGGAATCTAGGGGCTGATGGGGAAACCACCAACACAAATGCCAAACTGTTAAAAATGCATCACTTTAAGTTCCCTAAACAGTGACAAGGGAAATGGGTTAGTATTTGGGTTAAAATATGAAATACCACACAATAAATAGAGGGACCCTCTCTCATTGAAACTACTTTTCTTGGCTGACAATTGACAGTCTATTTGTCAGAAAAGTAATTGATGTACTTATTTTTTGCTGTTGCCTTGCTAATTTTCTCCATTTCTCAAATGTTGCAGTAAAGTAATGTTTTGTATAGTATGTTAAAATCATGTATTTTGTCCTTTACAGCCCAGAACAAAGATTCTCTGAACACATCAAAGATGAACGTAACATGGACTTCCAGAAGAAATTCATCCTGAAGAGAGATGATGCCAGCATGGACAAGGATGATAATCAGGTAAACTGCATTGTACCGTCACATTGTTACGTATATCCTACTATAGAACAATAGTGGCACAGTAGTTAAAGGAACTTTACACACAATGTTATTATTTAGTTTTTACTATCACAGGCACAAATCACTATTTTAAAAAACCAAAAAATGAATCTGGTTCCTGGTGTAAAGATGTGCGTCTACTAGGGGTGTAACGGTATCTGTATTCGTACCGTCACGGTTTGGACGTCACGGTTCGGCACATGCAGTCACACGACGAATACGCCTTTTTTTTACGAGTGGGAAAAAAGTCTGTCATTCAGGGCAGTATCCACTACACTATTTATAATCCAGGGGGCGGTATTGCGCCTAAAAGCTGTTTGCCAGCCGCCCTTAAACAACAAATGAAGAACAAGAAGAAACACAACAACAAAACGAACAAAATACAAGAAGAAGAAAAGTTAGTATGGCGAGTTCAGATAACACACAGGAGCTAGAACCCACCTGCTTCTTTTAAATCAGCTGTGTGGGAACATTTTGGGTTCCCTGTGGACTACAATAACGATGAAGTGTGCAAGTGGTGGATCGGACGAGGACGGTGTGTCGGCGTGGCTCAACAGTGGTGCGGTATGCTAATGGGAACACAAGCCAAACATGCTAAATCATATCAGAAGGCATCACCCAGATTTGCCAATCACCGGAGCCCGGCAAAAGACAACAGCAGTTCAACAGCTTATCCCCGCTGTTTTTAAGAAGCCAATAGACATGAAAGCAGAGAGACCAAAATAAATAACGGAAGCTTTTGGCATAAGTTTTTCAACGACTTTGCGCTCTTGAAACACTTTCTTATTATTTATGATGTAATATTTTCAAGACATTCTTTTTAGTTTTACAGCTTGATGAAACCTTTTTGTTTGACATCAGCCATTATAGATAATCTGGCCATCTGAGTGTGTGTGGTACTGTTTGTGGTTTGTTTTTAACTGTTTAATACAGTTAATTATTCAAAATGTCAGAGTTCCTTATTTTTAAACTGAAACTTGCTCTACTGTTCAAAAATAAATAACAACAAACCTGGAATTATGCATTTGGGACTTTTTTTTGCTTTTTCTTGTTGTACCGAACCCGTACCGAACCGTGACCCCCAAACCGAGGTACGAACCGAACCGTGACTTCTGTGAACCGTTACACCCCTAGTGTCTACGTATAAAATGAATTTGCCGATCTACAGATGTAGCACCTCATTTCAGACAGTTTGAAACGCGAGGGCCGTGGCCGGCACGGGGTCTGCCCTCGCTCAAAGGAAAACCTCCAGCGTGACTTGAGACCGCCCCCTTGATAAATAAATGTAATTATAATGAAGCCAGCTGCAATGGATCATTGATCCACCAGGGGGTGCAGTGGGGTTCCACACTGGACAGTGATGCAAATTAGTCGCTTTTCGGCGCCTCCCGCTTTTTTAACGCTGATTTGGGTGACTTGTGTAATTCGTGGAGAACCGAAGAGTTTTCGTTTTAGGGGTGGGGGTCCGTCCGTCCGGCTGACGGAAGAAGAAATCTAGATCGCAAAATAATTAAACAAGCGAGTGCCTGTTTTTCCTGGCCAAGGAACAAAAAAGTTGTTAAAAATAACAAGAATAGAGTTTAAAAGGTGAGTGATTTGTAAAATATCCAAAAAGAAAAATCTGCTTACAGTTCTGTTTCAAATGGGTGTTGAAAGATGTATCCATAGATCTCCTCATGTTCCTCTCAAAGTGCACCAGATTGATGGTTTTAACTTCAATATTTAAAAAAAAAACTGAGTGCTACATCTGTACTTAAAAATATATTCTATATGTGGGTTTTGTCCCTTTGTTAAATGAACTGTCAGTCGGCAGAGATGGATGTGATGGAATATAACTACTTTAAACCTTTTCCAGTTCAGATGAAAAAAGGCAGTCTTCTTTGGATGCCAACTGGGCTGTGAATCTAACACTCACAGATTTCCAGTGGTGAGCCCCCAGGTTAACTTGGCATCTGGAAGTAGGAGTGGTAGTGCTGCAGCATCATCTATGTGTGAATTATTCAAAACAACCCTTCCATTCTTTCAAAAAAAGATAGGGATTTTAACAGAAGAGTCAATCGGTGAAACAATTGTAGCTTTGTGTAAGAGCATGCAGAGTTTCAACTGAGATAACTACATTATTTGAGTTTCTCAGGTGGGTGTGACCACACAGGTGAACATTAGCATGTGGAGGGAGATTTAACCATCTGTAAGACTTGGTTTGGAACTAAAAATGGAGGAGACTCTTCCGCCACATTTAGTTTTTGTTTAAGTCCAAAACATCACAGGTCTGTCCACCCCTTGTTTTGAGTTATTACTATAGATAGAACAACTCAGAATCACTGAATGCAAACACTTGTACTAAACTAATGACAGGGCAATCGTATGCAGTAGATTGCATGTTATTGATACTGTCTCTATAAATGACACACACTTTTCAATTTGCAATGTTTTAAATATCTCTCCATGGTTTGTTGATTTCCTGAGTGTGAGCCACACAACTGTAACCCAGAGGCCTGTACTGTGAATCCAGTTCAACAGACCCTGGATATGTTTGAGTTATCTGGCTCAACTAACCCAAAACAAACGCGCTCTCGCTAAGCGGTCCTACGACGCTGGTTATCAACTCGTTAACTCAAGCCAGGATTTCTCTGTCCGGCTGAGTGCGCGTTCACATGAAAGGGGCGGGGTTAGCAACATTTGACCAATCACCAACATGGAGAAGCGTACTGACAGCGCAGCGTCACACTTCCTGAATGAAAAGTGAACTATAATATTAGACATATGAAGACGTTAAACTTTAAACATCCATGACTTAAACACTTTATCCAGGATAAAAGCCACATAGTTGCACCTGCAAGGTGAATACAGCTGGCAAAATAAAAAGTGTTTGAATGCGTACATTAACAGGTTTATGATATCACTGCCCCGTCCAAGACACGAGTGGATCTGACTTTAATCACCTTTGTCTCCAGTGTTTCGTCAACCTAATGTGTTGCTTAAAATAATACTTCTGCATACAGTATGTGACACTGTGAGTGTTGCACAGCCAGATACGGCTCAGCTGACTCAGATAAGGAAATATATGATACATTATGATGTGATATGAATGATAATGGGACACACACATCGAAGTCTGCACTCACAGTGCAGACTTCGATTTGTGTGTCCCATTATCATTATTATCATAATTATCATTCCCATTATTACTTTGATCCGGTTACTTATATTGTGGCAGATATTTAAGTAAGCTTTCTTAACGCTAATGTTATAATAGTCAGATTGCTCTGAAGATGGGAGGTGATATTCTATTAATGTTCACGTTCACACAGTCAGTTGATTTTTGCCGGCCGTCTTTCCTGCGACGGCAGCTTTCCTGTATTTCCTCTATCCTGTAATATGACTTGATCGCTTTAAACTCCGCACACTGAGCTCTGATTGGTCAGCAGGCGGTGCTTTCACTGAGTTGATCTCTTAGCCTGCAACCTAACCTGCTCTGGAGCAGGCTAGCCGTTCAGCATAAGTTACCATGGAGATCTACCCCGGTAAGAAGAGAACCAGCGTCGTAGGACCGGAAACCCAGAGTTTTCCCTGAAGTTAGCTCGCTAAGCAAAAATCCGGCTTCGTAGTACAGGCCTCGCACGTGTGCTGTTTATCCACACTGCAGACAGTTTTAGGAATGGTGCAAGATGCACATTTTAAACAACAGTATACAGTCAGATAATAATCTCACAACTAAAACATCTCTGTTGTTTCAGAGGGAAGTTAATAACATAGGTATTTAGGTTTTAAACCACACATTAGACTTCCATTTTTAACCACAAAGGATTAAAATAATAAGGAATAATATGCTATAGTTGTTGCTGAAATTTCACACTTTTTTCATCATTCCGACCGTGTTTGTTTGAAACATTGACACATTTTCTTGGCGCCTAATGCGTTTGCATATTTGTCATTTCCCTTTGTTCTATCACGTTAAATCTTCCCACACTTTTCCCACCCCTCAAAACACTCAGTTTGTAAAGTTTCCATTCTGTTGTTTTTGTTTTGAAGCAGCTGCTCTCCATCACATGCTACTGTTGTTATCATGTGACTTGTTGCTACTTATCTTTACAGAAGGACGCTACGCATGTATTGTATTTACATAAAACTTTAGCATATTTTGTCAAAAGTGAATAATGGATTGTAACACTTTCATTTGATTGTGTTCCTAAATGTTAGATCCGCGTGCCGCTGCAGGACGGGCGACGTAGCAAGTCCATTGAAGAGCGAGAGGAAGAGTATCAGCGGGTACGAGATAGGATCTTTGCCCGAGAAGTAAGTATTGGACCTGGAAGGTTTTGAATAGTGAGATGTCAAAAGGTCCAAATTGGACAGTACATTTTTGTTAATAAATGTTGAATTTTGACGTGGTAATATTGATATCTGAAGTTGGTGTTTCCCAGTGTGTTTAGCTTGTGACCCGTTAATACAGAGCATGATCACGATGTGCATGTCTGTGAGATGTAAACAGTTGTTTTTACCTTCTCTCATTGTTTAATTTAGATAATAAAGGCCTGAAAGGTTTAACCAAAACAGGTTTCTAATTTGAATGCAGGTTATCAAACTATGGGAACAGCTACTTTAAACACCATGTCACATGCAAAATACAATCATTTAAAATGTTAAAACTTCTGAAAGGTTGTTTTGAAAAAAATGTTGGCCGCCTGGATGGATGAAGCATTTCATAATGTGCAGGTGTCCTTTTTCTTACAGTCCTCTCAAAATGGATACATCAATGACAACAGGTAAGATAATTCATCCTAGTGGAGACTGTGATGTGTGCAATGTATTTATACTCCATTTCTGCCACCTTTCCCCTTAAAGCTACAGAACGCTTGTTAAGTTCCAGTTATGTCAAATGGAGAGGGCTGTAGACCCATCAACATCATATATACTGATTTATTTGTTTAAATTTGATCACTTACATTACTGTAGCCCCTATAATAGGTTTTGTTATTTTACTGTGATTAATATGCATGTGCTGAGGTTTCTCTGCAAGTGTTGTTAGACTGTGAGAGACATGATGTCTTTAAGAAAGATTAGTCGGTAATGGAACAAATGTTTTCTAGGAATGAGTTCTCTCACACAGCACTTAGTCAGCCTCCATCCCTTGGCATCCTGGCCATTGAGGTTGAAAGTTTAGGACAGAATATGCTTAGAGAGAGAAAGAGCAGCGTGCATTTTTTATTTGCAGGGTAAAAGTTCTGCACTGTGCCTACCTCTACCTCCCACCTTATCTCCCCCTCCCAAAACCCCCTCCTCTTCTCCAATGCAGTCCTGTAACCCCCACATTTTCTCCTAATGTTAACCCCAACAGACTTTCCACTGAGGGCTACTGCTCTAGCTCTCAAAAGAGGAGGCAGATCTTTAGGTATTGGGGTGCTGCTGACTTTGACTTGTGTGTTGCCATGCCCATTCTTTCAAAGTGGTTTGGTGATGATAGTGGTGACTTGTGGTGGTTTTTATATCTTTGCTTTGCGTAGTCGGCTGATTGATGGCTATTCCAGCACTGCACTGTGGGGCTTCCCATGGCCCATGCATGGCTGCTTTGTGGTTTCACTGGGGACTGATTGACCTACTTACCCTTCCACTCATCCTCCCTCAACTACATTTTGATATAAAGTAACTGCATCGCTTCTACAGTAACCTGTTTGTTTTGTGGTTGACTTAGTCTTGTAGTTTGTTAACATGTCACCTGTTGCATAGTAGCATATGAGAAATTGTAAACGGTACGTATATGCAATTATGCTATTAATCTGACAAAAATAATACGAATTTTAGAGTGCAGAAAGGCTATATTCATTGTTTTCTTAATTAAAGCAATACGAGTTTTTGTTCTATACAATATTAGCGAGTAGTGTTAAATGTGTTTCACGAATCCAAGTTGACACATTTATATTGTTTTTATGTACTGTTGTAGAGGATTAACAAAACAATAAATATTTTAATAAGTAAACTAATCGTTTCTGCGATAAAGGGCAACAGTTTATTTCGTTTTTACTTTTCATTTTCTAGGAGTATCTAATATACATTCAACCTTTAATTATGTGCGGACTATTTGTTTATTCCCTTATCACTAATATTTCTGATTCTTGCAGGAATGTCATGACATTCAATTCAATTGCCATACAATGTGTAATTTAATAATATGGCATTGTTAAGTTATGGTCTTTTTAGAGTTCACCTGAAAACAAGCCTTATACCCCAAACCCAGCAAACTGAGTCAATGATATTAGCTGTTGCAGAACACATGCTGTTAATTAATAACAGCATAACACCACAGTCCTCACCTAAATAAACCAGAACCTCTTTTGTGAGGCATGGTTTAATGTAGCCATTTAAAACGAAGCCCGAGAGGGATAGAGGCACATAAGCAGCCTTGCTTCCCCTGCTTGTGCGTGTGATGGGGAATGCTGTCGTGACCAGAGAGTGGAGATGAAAGATCATGTGATCAACAGCAGAATCCCTCCTCCTCTCCCTCCTGCTCTCATCTTTGTCTGCAGAGCGAAGCGAACGAGTGTGCGCCTCCCTTCACAGAGAGCGGCAGAGCACCCACCCTCCCTTAAAATAGGCTGTGCAGAGAAGACTCAAAATAGATCCTCCATTAATTACAGTCTCTCTGAAATATTTATCAGCCACCTTCAAACACCACTCACTATCTCTCGCGTTTTACAACCCATACCACATAACTGTTCCCACAATCAGCCTCACATGTTTTCAATTCATTTCACTCTTGTTCTTTTCACATCGGCATACCCCTCTTACAGTGTTAGAGTTAACTTGGCTTTTTCCTACTCTGCTGTACTTAATGTCAAAGGTCTCTGTTGACCTGCAGAGCATACATTCAACCTAATGCTACGCCACCACTATGTATAGCTAACTTTGATTGTTTTGTCAACAACAAAATAAGAAAAAATAAGTAAGGCTGTCAAATAAAGCTAGGTTCAGATCAAAAAGGATTCGGTAACCGAGTATCAGCCAGTAAATCTTCGTAAACATAGTGGACATTGTACAAGATCTCCGGATATCAGAATGTTAATTAATTGTGTGATTAAACATTAATATTTAAATCTAACACTTATAATGACGAAGACACTTGGTAGTAGAAACTTTAAACTATTTTTACCCTTTTTGTTAATGCATAAAATGTTATTTAAAGGGGACCTATCATGCAAAATGCACTTTGTGATGTCTTTTATACATAAATGTGTGTCCCCGGTGCGTCGGGGAACTCACGCAGCGTCAGAACATAAAACCCTCTCTCTTTTCCTCCGTACCCAAATATTTTAAAAACGGGTGTACAACGAGCGGATACAGATTTCCATCCGCTGTGTCTTTGTGAAGGGAGGCCATGTGCCCAGTTTCAAATGCGTTATTTTAAATGACATTAGGACATATTTAAATGAAGCGCTACTACTTCTAATGCTGACATGACAATGTCGGACTGAACCATTCAGTTGTGATAGAGGGGTTTCCCCAGAGTGATGGTTTGTTGGCAGCTGCCTTTATCCAGGGTGACAGCATCACAACAACACAATGAGTATGTCTACGGCAGTACAGTTTAAAGAACCATAGTGGTGAACCAGTTGATATTTTGTAGATGGTGTGTAATTTACAGGTGTATGTGTGTCCTGTTTGTATGTCATTGTTTGTGTCCAATATAACATGTTTTAAATTGCATGTGTTACTGTTTACCTCAATTTATGTGTTCAAAAATATATCATGAATGTAAGCAAATGCTCATTATGTGAATGGTGTCTCCTGTCTTTGATGGTGTTTGTGTTGAATTCATGGAAGTTTGTCTCATCCAGTGTCACTTGTTACACCCCCCTTGTTGATTGTCTGGAGCATCTTTTCTGCCTGCATGTATGTTTTCCTTTGTGGATGGGTTTTGATGTGTGTTTGTGCGTTTGAATGTTTGGTTAGATGTTTAAAATGGGATATAATATTGTTGGTGATATGTTGCCTGTTCTTTGTATCGTGGTTTAACTAAACCAGCCAATGTGCATCGGTGTTGAATGCCCCATCCTAAATGAAGCCTGTCACACTGTCCTCTCTACCTGTTGATGACCTTACTGTTCTCTTCTGCTCTCCCCTCTATCTTGTTTTGTCTTTCACTTTCATTCTGTCCCGGTCTACATCTACACAATTCCCTATCTATATATTCCTCCTTCTACCCATTTACATTTGTGTCTCTTTCCTCCTCTAAATTCAACTCTGCATTCGACCTATCTCTCTCTTGCTGCCTCCTAACTCTCCTTACTTTACCTCTTCTTTTCCTCTTATCCTACTCCATCCCCATGATATCCCCTTCCTTTCATCTCTCCGTCTCTCTCCTCTTCCTCCCTGTGCTGTCTTTTCTCAGAGGGAACCGTGAGAGCTCCAGCCGGGCGTCTAGCAGTCGTCAAAGCAGCACAGACAGTGACATGAAGTGCCTGGAGCCACGGCCCTGGAGCAGCACCGACTCAGACAGCTCCAACCGCACCCTCCGGCCACCCGTCACCAAGGCTAGCAGCTTCTCTGGCATCTCCATCCTCACCAGAGGGGATAGCCTTGGCAGCAACAAAGGCTCACAGGGAAGCTGCAAAGGCTCTCGCTCTGGTAAGACATACTGTAGACATATTAAGGAGTTTCTGTTGTATGTCATTAATGCTAGCATTATCTCACTTTTAAAACACCGCACCCTTTTCTATACATTATTAACTATTACTAATACAACAATAGCTACTTAAGTGAAGCACAAACAGCTTTTCAAGCCATTTGATCCAGTCGGAATTATTATTCTCTAGCTGTTCGCTTTTTATTGTTGAGCGTTCTCTTAAAATGTAATAATAGTTACTCTTAGCTGCTTGACAGATGATTCAGGCAAGACATCAGGAGGTGCATTTGACTCATTGACTCTGTTACATAGACTCTTGGAAACTCCTGTAGGTTAAACTGCACTAACTAAATACTTTCAGAAACCTGCTAGCATAGCAGTTTTAAGCCACAAACAACACATAATGCAACAATATGTTGCAAGCTGTTGGTAAAACAGTATTATCCTCATTTGAATATTTTCTTCCATCTTTGAATGTTCTTTTTTTATTCAAGAAATAGTATTAAATGAAAAATGCAGCAACTAAAGTTAAAGACAAACAATATTACATTTGATAGTGATCTGATTAATTAACATATCAACAATTGGCATATTTTAGATTAATATTGCAAAATGCCAATCTGATATCTTCCGCCACGACTCCAGATGCATACCATAATAATACATTCCCCTTAGTCCTCATTAGCCAGTATTTCACTCAGTATTTCGCTCAAAAACATCTGCAGTATTATCTTTTTGTTTCATGTCTTCTTCTGCATCACTAGGTCTGTCCCTAGTCAGTCCTGATGTGTGTCCTCCGCCTGCAGCCTCCCAGTCCAGCCGTAGCCTTCTTCCCTCCCCGTCACAGCAGCCGCAGCCCCAGGTTCCGCCCCAGACCGCCCTGCTGCCCACCCCACAGCAGCACCCCATGGGAAACCACATGATTGCTCAGGTATGTACCGCCACTATATGTATTTACGTCAAGCATATCGGTAAAACCAAGACGTACTTTCAAGTTAATTAGGGTGTCATTTATTCTGGTGCTCAATTGACAACAAAAAAATCATCAACTTTTTCAATAATCAGTCGATTGTAGTACTTTTCCATCTCCTCTGACTTTTAGGAACCTGTAAGGAACATTATTTTTTACTGATATCTGTCATATAATAGAATCATTTGTATGTAAAAAATATCAACGGATTAACTGATAATGAAAATAATAATTGATTACAGTCCTAGCCTCAGGTCGTTCACATCTAAAGATAAGGTACATTAGAGCAACAAGCTAACATGATTGCACATCAACAACAGTTTATGAAATGACAGAGATTTCCTCTTTTGTCTCTTTTAGAGTAGTAGCTCACTTTGTAAACCTCGTTTTATTGTTTTGGTGAAATATTCTAAAACCACATATGATAAACATTTTTCATCTGTTCATTAACAACTTTCCCTCTATGTTTAACCCTCATCTTTCCTATGTATTCATTTCTCTTTGTCTCCTTCTATCCTCCTGCGTCTGCCTCCCGTCCTCTCTCCCTGCTCTGCCTCTTTATTTCTACCCTCTCTCTGGTGATGTGTGTAGCCGGTGGCCACTCTGCAGCCCTCTCAGCCTGTCTCCTACTCCAGCCCCTCCTGCCCCCAGGTTCTCCTGCCAGTGTCTCCTCCCCAGCAGTACACAATGGTACTGACACCACTTGTGTTTTCATGTGTCAAATACTGCATTAAGGACACCCTTAAAGTCTTAAACGCTCATACTATGTTCTCAGAGGTATATAACCAGGAAAATATCATATATTTGATGATCAACAAATCTTTAGAGACTAATCTTTAATGTATTTGCTACTCCTTGTAACGGCCCCTACACACGGCGGAGTGCGTTGACTCTTCAACGCTTCTGCCCATTCACTTTGAATGGGGTGACGTCACGTTTCGCCGAACTGCATTGTGGGAGCGAAGCTTAGCTTTTCTCGCGGTGCTCGCGGGCAAAAGTAGAGCAATGTTCTACTTTTGAAGCCTCGACCGAGGCGTCAGCCAATCGAATCATATGCCAGTACAAGTTCTAGCCAATCAAACCACGTGCTTGTGTGTCTGGGGCGGAAGATTCATGTGATTGGTTGTTGGTCGAGTTTCAGCCCCCCCCCGCCGGCAAGCGACAACGCACGCCGCAGTGTGTAGGGGCCGTAAGTGTCTGCATGTACATCAAGCTAATGTGTCTTGCTGTGACAAAAAAAAAGCAAGAGTTTTGCTTATTTGTAATTTGCTTTTGGTCTGCCAAGCACTTTATATTGATTTGTGTGGAGATGTAACAACATTCTGTTTATTTGAACCATTAACTAAATGCAGATGAATATGAAAAACAAAGTCATTGATATTGATCCTCTTACCTGAGATGGATATTTTTCTAAATGTCACAGTGCTCCCTTAAAACTCATCAAGTGCTCTTACTGTTGTTAAGGTAGCATTATGGCTTTATTCACTTTGAATCACTCGTCCTAGCGCAAACTTCAGAAGAAGCACAGACCGTGATGCCAGCAGCTACAACTGCGGGTGTTTCTCAATCTCGAGTAAAGCTGCTCCAGAGCCACTATTTCAAGCATCGAGTGCCGCCGAAGTACTGTTCCAATGTCCAGCATACTTGGAATTCTACCGAGCCCTGCGTACTTCGTTGGGAGAAATTTCGAGGCTTGCACATGTGTAGACTCCGCGGTCTTAAAATCCCCACAATGCTTTGCGCACGGACCAATTTCCCCAAATCTGTGGCGGAAAATGTAAGGCGGGGCCTCTCATATGACGCACACTTGCTCGCCTGCTCCACTCTTCGTTTTCTGAATGCCAGGAAGTATTCTTGCCTCGCTTCTGAAACAAGACGCTCGGAAGACATGTGCTACTAAGCAAGCGTACTCGACATTGAGAAACACCCTGTATCTACACAGGGTGTCCGCGGGGTCTTAAAAAGTATTATAAGTTGATCAATCAATTTAGCGAAAATGAAGGCTATTAAAAAGTATTGAACAGCATTTTCCAAGGTATTACATTTTGTAGCTTGTTTTCAATAAGTATATCAATTGTCCAAAGAGGTCGTATTCTACAGTCTGCCTGAATGTAATCATTGCGTAGGTGTGTAGTGTGATTCTGTGTAGTTTATTTATGGCATCCCGTTGGGTTTGACGTCATCTGAACAGGACATCGCACGCTCACTGCTTGATAGCGCGCCAAGGTCCGTTTACGCCGGTTGTTAAACAACATCGTTATGGGGAAATGCAAGTCTGCGTCCAAATGGTTGGAAGATAAGGAGGAAGGACAATCAATACTGTATATAGTAAGTGTGTCGCCAATGTAACCGGTTAGAACTGGAAGTGGTGTACCCTGCTACAGATATAAGAAGCTTTAGATTGTGACCTATAGTTTTACATATCTGTAGATGGTTCATACAGTGACTTTCTGTAGTGCACTTTGTGGCTAACAATGCCTGCTAGTATTCAGAGTGCTGGCTTTGAGGGAAATGTGTAGGTATTATTTTATTATACATGAAATATTGTGTAATCTAGATTCATCCTAATAATCGTATACTTTGTAATTAATCGAACATCCTTCTTATTCCTCCTAGGGAGAAGATCTGGCGCCACAGTTCACCCAGATGACTCTGAGTCGGCAGGGCTCCAGTGAGAACCCTGAGCCCCCCCCCATGTATCAGCCTCCTCCCACGGTGCTGACTCAGCACCCGCCTCCTCAGACCGGCTACATCATGGCTACCACGGGTCAGCCTATGGCGCCTCCGTCTGGCTATCAGCCTGCCACTGGACACCCCCATCCTCCACCTCCACCACCTCCTCCATCCCAGACCGTCATGCAGGCCCCGCCCCCCCCACAGGGCTACATGCAGGCCCCTCCACCTCAACAGGTACGCTTTTCTCCACAGGCTGCAATATCGAACAAAGGTTTTGTTTGAATGTTCCCAGAATACCGGAAATGGGAGTATATTACGTTTGTGATACAGTATCAATTTGCTCAAATATTTGTATACGGTACACCTTGATACAAAAATACTTTGTTGTTCCTGTAAGGACATTTGTTTTGGATTGCCTCCTGCAGTTCCATCATTTATTACAAATAATGGATTAAGGGTGAGGCATCAACATTTGAACACAGGAGTTATGTATATATACACGGTTTGCACATACACAATACGTAAACGTTTATTTGGAACTGTTTAGTTTGTATTCATTTGTCACTTTTTCCAGGAAGAGGTGATGGCATTAGGATGGTTGTTTCTCGAGTATTGATGATTCTCTGGGGAAACTGCTATTTGTACTGGAATAATTAGAGTATTTGAATCCATCGTTATGCATGTGTGAAATGGTTCATTAGTCCTTTAGATTACATTTGGAACACGCTGACACCATCTGATGTCAGGCTGTTCCTGCTTCCTTGAGATATTGGCCACTGTGAGGCTCATGTTCCTTACACCTCATACTAATGAGTGTTAATGTAAAGATTTGTTAATGAATTAGAAGAGTACACTGTGTGATCAACGCTGCACTTTGTTAAAATACAGATACAGAGATGAAACTTGTGAGTGATATGGCAGTCTTATAATGGTTTCCCATTACAGGAACTGAACACTGAGAACAAGAGGTCTGATTTGTTGCGTCAAAGTGATTTGAACAAGGCTTACTCAACAGCACAGTTATCTCCCTTTTTATAGGAAAGGTGTACAGGGAAGTAACTGCTAAAGCTGTTGGATTGAGACATCTGAGATCTCCGCTAACTGTGAAATTACAACATCTCAATGAGTAATAGTTTCCTGGCACAAGGAAATAACTGGTTTAATTGTCAAGCGAAATCTACCCACATAATTATTATTATTATTACTTCCCACACTGTTTTGTGTTTCCAGCCGTGGCACAGTACTCATCTCTCCTCTGGTGACTAAATTGCCAGAACATGTGTTTAAATACACATTATCTGGTCAGTCATGTCAGAGATATTTTTCTAGTAATATGATTGTCTTGGAAAGAGCTATGTCATTTTGTAGTAATTACAGGGAAAGTACACATTACCATGAAAGAACTTTGGAATCCACGTAATATTCCTTCATTAAAGATTTATTTTTGAAACCTAATCATTGGAATGTTTTACATTGGACACAATATAATTGGACACCAGAATATCATGTTAAAAGTAGAGGTGGTTATGAAAGATGAAACGGGTTTCTGCTTATGTCGACTAGGTTGCACTAGCTCACTCATTAATTGAGTGTACCAATATAACGCTGTCCATAGTTCACATCTGAATTGTCCTTTCCAGGAAACTGCCTAGGTTATTACAAAATCCATAGACATTGTTGTTACTTTAAAAACTCTCCAGTGATGAATGAATGCAATAAATATAACAGAATAAAAACTCAAAAGAGTTTCGTGTGATATATCAAGGATGTGATTCCTGTGAAGTATCAGGATTCACCCAGTGGGGGAGTTTGGTTCTAGCGCCCAAAGCGCTGTGTGTCACCTCCACAAGCTCGCTCTCAGTTCGCCTGTCACATTCCTCTGATCGCAGAGGCGGTGACAATATGATGACTTTTCTCACTCCGTCACTCACACTCTCCCTTCCCTCCCTTAGGCTTCTGCTCCATAAAGAAGTTATTATAATTCATTTGAGCAGAGAACTAAATTGACCTGGCCGTTAAACACCCTGTGGGAGACATTAGGTCCTGTAATGTGTGTCTGGGGCTAAATTGTAAAAGAAGATAGAGAATAGCTGAAGTGACTACATAGTGTTGTGTTCATACGAAGTGAATCTGGGGTCAGTCATGTCTGCTTAGAGCATCAGAGGATGTATTATAATCAGGTACACATGTTTTAAACCTCAGACAGCAGTGCAAACTATTAGTTAATGTGTTTTGTTTACATGACCTTGCTTATAGGGCAGAGATACTTAATTATCGAAGCACAAACAGGTTGAATCATAATTTATCAGTGATGCAGTGTTTGCGCAAAAAGGGCAACCGAGTCCCCAGTCCCCCCTTCCAGGAGAGTTTGCAGACACAATTGTGCATGCATCATTAGCTGGAGTTTTAGTCCACGTGTCTGGAGTGAGCAGTAATGCTGTGGCTTTGAACGTAGCAGTGTGTATAGTTTATTTGTCGGTGAATAAATGCTACAACTCCCAAAGACCCAAGTCAAGTCCCCATGCTTGCTACCTGTTCAATATACTGATGCAAGTTAGTCCCAAAGTTAGCTACACTTTTGTTTTTGCTTATATTTTCTGCGATTTCATTTAGTTGTTCCAAGCACTGACCCATATAGTCCGCTTCTTTTGGTGCTTTTTATCACCCTACAAACAATCATATATATTATCCTCACTCTTATTGATTTCCATTCTGTATGAACAGCATGGGCCGTTAATGGAAGGAGCTCTGTGTTGTTTAACGTGTGGGTGGTGGACAGTGTAGCAGGAGGTCAAATATTAACACCGCTGCAGCCTCGAAATGGGCTGAATGTTGTCATGTATGCAGATGAGGTTTAAGGCAAGAATTATGCATTCTCCTAACATTCAACTTCCTTACTGTTATCCACTTGAGGCCTAGTATATCCATTCTGTATGCTTCATTTAGCCAGTCAGATCATTTTGTATTTTGCAGTTTTCGGGCCTCAGCTGTTTACTGTGTTCAGACTTTACCGTCCTGCACTAAACACCAGACGGACAAAGTTGGCAACAAGCTAGTAAATATAGTGAATCATTTATTAAGTATTGATTTTACAGCACCTCCCATCTTCAGTAGATGGAACTACTTTCTCAAATGGAGGCCCGTTAATTGTATTGTATACACCTCGGAAAACATAGTGAGTTCTGGACCTTCCTGCTCTCACTGGTGGACAGGTCCAACAAGAGTGAAACATCAACTCACACATGTCACTGTTATTCACAGCGCTTGTGTTTGCTGTCACAAGTGGCAAAAAAGAGTCACTGTAGGATGTAGGGATGGGTATCGTTAAGGTTTTAACGGTACTACTACTTTTATCGATACCGCTTATCGGTCCGGTCTTTTAACGGTACTTTTATCGGTTCTTTTGGAGAAAAAAAAACTAAACGAATTGTGAACAAAACTAACATTGCTTTTTATTTAAATTAAATACATAATATTTCACAACAAAAGAAACAACGTTTTAACAAATCGTATTAAATAATCTGAACTGTAAACAGAATAGCTGAAAGTTTAACAAACTAAATAACTCAGTTTCCTCTAATCATTAACCCATGTTTGTATAATGTGGTTAACTCCGTGTGTTGCTGCTAGCATACATAACACCTGACGTGGAAACGTTACTCGTGGATGGGGCTACAGAGCTGCTAGAAAGACGGTCGAACCCGGTGCATTCCTCCGTCTGAATGTGGAGCACTTTTGCTAAATGTTTAGACACATTGCTCGTGTTACCGCCCTTACATGCTGAACTCTTATTGCGCTTTAGGCAACGAGCATCGAGACGGGTAAAGTGTAACCACACCTCAGAGCGCGTTCTCTCCGCCATCTCCTCCGTGTGTGTGTGTGTGTGTGTTGCTGCATGTAGCAGCTGCGTGTGTGTAAACTAGGGGCTGCACGATTTTGGGAAAAAATCTAATTGCGATTTTTCTGACAAATATTGCGATTCGAATTGCGATATTTGTTTTTAAGCGACCCAACGGAAGTTTATTGTAAAATGCAGCCATAACTCCGGCTAGGAAGGTCGTATCAACGTACTCCAGTCTCTAGCACCCCCGCAGCCCGAGCTACGAGTGAAATAACTAAACTTACATGAAACTTCCGTTGGGTTGCTTTAAAGCAGTGGTTCTCAAAGTGGGGGGCGCGAGAGACCAGGAGGAAAAATGGTTATTAAAAAAAAAAAAAATCATATTTGGAAAAATTATTGATTGAAAATAATATGATGCAGTACAGTACTATTACGTCTGGCTCTCTGTGTTTCATTAAAGCTCGGCTCTGTGTGTGTGTGGAACGAGCCATTTTGTGTGTGAGCGAGAGAGAAAGAGCGCACCGGTACCGGAGATCGTTGATGTGAGCTTCTGGTGCTAGCGAGTTACGCTAACGGATATAAGGAGTTTCAGACTGAGAGACTCAGTGAGCTAAAGGACTCTCTCAGTGTCATCTCAGTGGGTCTCAAACGTTTTGGTCACCATTAATGTAAACAATTATTTCCGAGGCACACGTTTATATGATCATTATAGTTATAAAAAAATAAGAGAATAAATTAAAAGCAGGTATGAAATACTATATGGCAGTAAAAAAAGAATACAGTTTAAAAGGGGAGTGATTTCTAAAATATCCATAAAGAAATAGTAAATCTGTTTCCAGTTCTGTTTCAAATGGGTGTTGAGAGATGTATCCATAGATCTCTTCATTTTGCTCTCAAAGTGCACCAGATTGATGCTTTTAACTTCAATATTTAAAAATCTTCCCGGGGGAGCATGCCCCATGTGAGGTCCACACACCACCTATAAAAATAGCACTTTACCCCTGCATACACCTATATGCGGCCGTGAGCTGATTATCGAGCCTTCTTTGTAACAGTTGCGGGTACGTATGCGTGGGGAGTGTTGCAGTAGAAAATTCCACTGTAGCGACCGGTACATTAATGGGAAACCCTAAATGTTTGAGCACCCTCTATGAAATGTCAAGCTACCCCACAGCACCCCCAAAAGAAATCTCTGGCGCCGCCACTGAGCCTGACTATTTGTGTTGGGGGGGGGGCCCGACTTTTTTTTTCTCCAAAGGGGACAGAAAAAAGAAAAAATTTGAGAACCACTGCTTTAAAGTCAAGCTTCAGTTTAAGATTCACCCTGTAATAGATGTAAAACATGTGATGGAGCATTACTAACTTGACTCAGATGCTTTGTTTTACCAAACCATCTAGGAAAGCTCCATTGGAAGCCATTTGGAAAAGGGCAGGCACTTTCAAAAATACATGGCAGGTGATTGGATCAATCTGTCTATCACCTTCTATCATGGGCCAATTCTGATTGATTAACAATGGCTGGTACATGTGGAGCACAACACTTCTGATTGGTGTGGATGACTGACACACAAGAAGAAGAAAAAAAAAAAATGTAAAAAAAAAAAAGTAAAAAAAAATCGCAGGCTTTGCGATTTCATAATCGCATCATTTAAAATCGCGATTTCGATTTAAAATCGTTTAATCGTTCAGCCCTAGTGTAAACTGCCCCGTCCCCTCGCAAGCAGGCGGGAGAGAGATCGAAAATACTAAAAATAATCATAGAAGCATTTTGCAGTCTTTTTGCATGTTAGAAACAGAGTTGGCGACACTAAAACTGCAATATAATGTTTGTGTAGCAATAATATACATCACATATTTTTTACATGTCTCCAGTACCGATAAAAAGACCGCTAACGTCGGAGCTTAACAGTACCACGGTCTTTAATAATTCAGCCCCGGGGCCCGTTTAATACCGGGGCTCGGTACCCATCCCTAGTAGGATGCCTAAACTGAGATATAATAATACAAGTATTCGATAATTATTGATAAAACATTTAAAAATGAAATAATGTGCTCTCAATGCCATGAAAATACAATCTTTCCTGGTATTGCCTCCGTGTAGAAATGGCACTGACGCAATACCAGGAAAGACGGAGTCACTTTTATTCATCAAAAGTCATTTTTCTCTCATTTAGTATTTGAATCTCTATACATGTGCTTTTGTCTCCAGATACAGGTGTCATACTACCCTCCTGGTCAGTATCCCAGCTCAGGCCAGCAGTACCGTGTGCCCCAGCCCATCTCCCACCAGGTGTCTTATCCTGCGCAGCGCACACAAACCATGCCTCAGCCCACACAGCAGTCAGGTCAGTTTGAACATTTTGTTATTCTACTGTATGTTGTTCCAGCTGCAAAAATAATGACTCCACAATACTCTGTCTATCAGGTAAAAGGTTGAATTTAAACAACCTTTCCCCTGCATTGTCCTGCCAAATCAAATATGCTAGGACCAAAATAGAGCTCTTTCTTTTTTTTCTCGGAATACCTTGACACCTTTATCCCTCAGTCTCTTTCATTTGGGGACTGTCAAGGTTGATTATGTGTTTGTACAGTTAACAACAGACTGACAACCAGAATGGACTCTGGCTCATAGCGAAGGCTGCCAAATCCATCATGCACACTGCAAGTCAGTCTTTCCTTACATCATGCACATGGCCGCTGCGTGGTTTGAAGTATGAGCTTTGTGACGGTATGAAGCTTGTTGGCTTTCTCCATATAGCTTCAAAGATAAACCATTGGAAATGCAAACATAAAGTGCTAACATTCCAAGGTATCTAGCATTTTTTACTTTATAAAAACGTCAAGTCACGTTCATCCAGAGAAATGTGTTATTTCCTTTGTGTCATCATCCAAGTAAACTCAATGTTTTGTTCTGAAATGGAGTTTCTGTGTTTGTTGAAGTCATCTGTACGTCTGCCTGTTGTAATGTGATGTTCCCCTTACAGTCAAAGGCCCAACCACCCTTCTTCTCTTCTTCTCCTCTCTTGTAATATACTCTTATACTCTTACTTTATCATTCGCCTTTTCTCTGCTGTCCTCAGGTCTCCAGACCATGATGCCCAGCCAGCAGCCGAGCTACCAGGGCATGATGGGAGTGCAGCAGCCCCAGAACCCCGGCCTGCTCAATTCCCAGAGGGCCGGCATGGGAGGACAGATGCAGAGCATAATGGTTCAGTACCCGCAGATGCCATCATATCAGGTATGGACAGTTTGAAGTCAGCCAAAATAATGCCATTTTGATAGTTTTGCTATTATCAATACAAAAATGTGCCTTGCCTGGAGACTTAAAGCGCCACCAGTGGTTACATACATGTGGCTGATCTTGGCATGGTTAACGGCTCCATCTGGTGCACACTTTTGAAAACAATTTATTTTGAAAAGGCCTTCACCACCCATATTAACATCACTTTATTGATAACGTGGCAAACGTGTACATTATTCAAAGGTTACTGTACATTTTATTTTCATGAAATAGCTGCTCATCTGCCGGGTCAGCTACAGCCAACAGACTCCCACAACCAGTGGAGGAGAAGTACTCAAATATTTCACTTAGTCCATTTATCATTTTAAGTGCTTCATGCATAGCTTGTCAATTTGACCAGGTGATCAATATAATTGTATCCTTACTGATAACCATCATAATTGATCTCTTAGTTATATTTTGCATCCTCAAAGTTACTTAAAGGTCCCATGTCATGGTCATTTCTACTGATCATAATTCCATTGTTGAGGTCTATTAAAATAGATTTATACTGTGCAATTTTCCAAACTCGACGTTGAGAGGCTCGTTGCTGCGATCTGCTGCGAGGAGCAGACAGGCTTCTGTGTCGGCGATACAGCTAGAACAAGCAAAACTCATCCTGAGCACACACAAAGTCACAGCCGAAGTAAAAACAATAAGTGTGGCTTGATATTGAGTAAGAAAAAGTTTTATAACGCTGTGAGCATGGGTCTGCAGAGAGCATTTCTCCGCGATCCCAAAGTAGCAGCCCGAAAAACGTTTACCCATTTAAACAGTCGTGGTAGATACCTTGTTTGTTTTAAACATCATAAATACACAAACAACAATGAATACTTACAGGTTGTGCACCCGAATCTCCCGCTGGTCCAAACAAAGTAGGAACAGCATCGTTCTTCAGTGCCGAAAGGTTTGGGAAGCTTTGTTTCGTGAAAGGCTGGCAGAGGGTGCGGCCATAGCTCTGGGCGTGGCTACTGGGTATCCCTACGTAGCGATACCCAGGAAGAAAACATTGGAAAATGAGAAATCTCCAACGAGGCGTTTTGGGGAGGTGTTAGAGTTTTACTCGCTACAGGGTGTACTTTGAGGGTTTTTGACTGCAGTCCGTTTACATGCATAAAAACTTTCATAACACACAAGGGGACGGGTAATAACCGGAAAAGCATGACATGGGACCTTTAAGATATTAAAAACGTATAGAGGTGGAAAGGGATAATACTCAAGTAGAAGAGTAGAGTACAAGTACAAAAATGTAATGCAGGTACTTCAGAATTGTGCTTAATTACAGTACTTGAGTAAACATACCCCAATACCTTTACTTGAATACTATTTTGAACGCTTGCAAACAACGAGATAAAAACAGATTGACATTTGTTATTGAAACAGCAACACGTGTCTGACCAAGTAATAATGACATCATGACTGGAGTTAATCCATCTGAGAGTTTGGTCTTCTTTGATCCAAACTGTTGTTTAGCTTTGACAGCACTCAGAACTTCTCCTAAGGTGTTTTCTCTCTTGCCCTTTCCCTTGTTGCAGGTACCAGTGGGAAATGAGAGCCAGCAGGTGGTGCAGCAGCAGTACCAGCAGCAGGTGATGGTGCCGGTCAGCCAGTCGGTCCAGGGCCCCATGCCCGTCTACTACAGTGTTATCACCCCCACACAGCAGAGCAGCACAAGGTATGTCTGAACAATGCAAACTCATTATTATTCCCTTTTTTCATTCCCTCATTTCTCTAATAATTGTTTGGTCGTACAAAATCCAAATATATTTAGATAACTATGATATACAACAGAAAGTAGCAGGATCTCTGCATGTTCTGACATTTTTGCCTGAATAAATGTTTGGGCGATGGATTCTCCTAAGACCCGGATAGAAACATGTGTTAATTGAAAAATGCTACCTTTATAATAATATTGTGCTTTATGTTCACCTGTATGTATGTATGTATGTGTTTGTATGTATATGTACCTTTCCCCTGCAGGGTGTCCGCGGGGTCTTAAAAAGTATTAAAAGTTGATAAATCAATTTAGCGAAAATTAAGGCTATTAAAAAGTATTAAACGGCATTTTCCAAGGTATTAAGAAGGTCCACAGCAACGACAACATGAAACACCCTTTAATTTACTGAAACAACATGTCGGGAAACCCCCTCAAGGTGGCCCCATGCATAGCGTGCCATAAAATGCTGCTTCTTATTTTAAGTTTCGTTGCCTTGCTCTGTGGGGGGGGGGAATAAACAGAAGGGCAACCATGACAACCATGCTCCGGGGTCTTCTTCGCTGCTTTTGGTGTATTTTGTGGCGGCAGCAGCGCCACTTACAGGCCTGGCATATGTACTACAGCGTTTCCAGCATTTCCAGCGGTCTAGTGTGAACGGACACGTTAATGAATCGAATGCGTGTGAACGGAAGACTTTTTTGCGTTTGCGTATGCGTTTTACTGTATGCGTCCTCGTGGGGCCGGGGGTCTAAGCCAAACTATATCTGGTCACAGAGATCTGCTATTTTAAAGTAAGGTCAACACATATCGACCCTAAATATAGTCTATATTAAGAACGAGAAAAGTCTTAACATATATATCGTTTTTTGTAAACATATGACAAATGTGTGAGGGTGACGACGTGAGAGCATCGTCCTATGTGCCGGGCTTAGCCCCGGACAGCCCCAGCCTAATTTAACCCCTGGGTATTTGTGAGGGAGCTCCTATATGGCATTACCCCGCTGAAGCTCACCAAAGTTTAATATATTTCATAGTTCAAAGTTTTGTCAATTGTTTTGTTTATTGGTCAAATACTGGTTTCTAATGGTTTCTGAAGAGTTTTACTGGAATGAAAGAGCACAGAGTACAGAAGCAACAAAGCAGCATACTGCATTAAACCTGACCTTCACAGAGAGGTTGAAGTTCATGTGGAGAGGAGGCTTCAGTAGTCTGTCTGCACTCTGTTTAGTTGTGCTATCTTACAATCAATATAGTAAATGTGAGCTAAAGTGTGTGGCCAATGTAACCGGTTAGAACTCGAAGTTGCGATGAGGTCTTAAAATGTATGGAAAGGGTCTTAAAAAAGGTCTTAAAAGGTATTAAATTTGACTTCAGGATTCCTGCATATACCCTGCCCTGCATTTATTCTCTCCCCTTTATGTGTGTGTGACCCGGCAGCCCGTCAGTCAGCTACCTGCAGCCCCCCAGCTCTGAGCAGTATCAAATCACTCAGTCGCCGTCCCCTTGCAACCCTCAACAGTTGCAGCAGCAATATTCAGGTGAGACTGAAGGGCGATTAGTTAAACATTTCATAAACAACATTGAAGCTTTTTAAAGTATTATATACTCATTGTATCTTGTTTGTGAGCATTATTCTCCCAAAATGAATGTCTGGAGTATTATGCAATTTAGTGATGCCCTACTTGTAACTGCCCTACCCACGAATCAGGTGAAAGGTATTTAGGGTAAAGGTAAAGCGAGGTACACAGGGTTCACAGGTTGAACTTGTTCATCGATTTCCTCAAAAAAGAAATGTTTGAAGAAATCACAAACCTCCACGTCAGAAAGGCCTAAAGTAAATGTTGATCGTAGTCACTTTATCCTTTCAACCTCTGCTCCTGTTTGTGCCGTTTACTCAGGTTGTTCGACAAATCAACATACAGCTATGTGATTGGTCGGTTTCTCAGATTCAGACTCTTGGTTTCAGGTTTTGATTTGAAACTTTCCCTCCACTTTGAGACTAAATCCAACCATAAACCTATGATTTGGGTCTTCCTGAAGCGTATTAAATGTGTTTGAGATGAAGAACGTGCTTCATCTTCTTACGCCGGTAGAGTGAATTTCATGTTCTCTGCAGAAAAGCACTAGTTGCTGAGAAACTATCCCCTCAGTCTTTAAAATGTTTTAATATTTTAAGGGTCAGGAATTATTATTAAAAAGAAAACAAATGTTGCTATTTTGGATTCCTTTTTAAGATGTTTGTTTTTCACTGTTTTATCTGTGATGCAATTGAAATAATGGTTTCAGGACGTTTGTGGTCCGTTGGATGAGTTCATGGCATATTTTGATGAAGAGAGAGAGATGTCCTTGTTGTTTTGAGCTCCTCCAGTTGTCATGTATTGCAGGTTTATCTTATGTCTGTCTCTGTGTGTCCCTCAGGCGTTCCTCCTCCTGGGCCCGGGGTGATGGTCATGCAGCTCAGCGTCCCCAACGGACCGCAGCCTTCCCAGAACCCCCCCCTGGTCCAGTGGAACCCGTGCAAATACTACAGCATCGAGCAGAGGCCCAGCAAACCGGGCGAGCTCTACAAACCAGACAACACTCCACAGGTACACACACATCTTCCTCACCAGTGGGGGGGGGTCATCCTGTTATGCATGTACATGTATTTATTCAACAGTCACCTATTGGTCAAACTGAGGATTAAAGACGGAACTACTCTTCTCATGTTTTTTTAATATTTTCCCTCTTGGTTTTTCTCCTTGTGTTCAGGCCAGCACCCAGCTGACGAGTCCCCTGGCCTCCCCCACTCAGTCTCCCACCCCGTCTCCCTCCGGCAGCGTCAGCAGCGTCTGTCCCGGCCTGGGACCACTACCCCTCATTTCACAGTTCCCCCGGCCCGGAGGACCAGCTCAAGGTACAAATGAAGAAGAAGAGAGAAGGTTTAAACCTGCACACACAAACAGCTGTACGTTACCTGGTAACAGGGACAGCAATCATCCCATTACAAATTAGAGCCAACTATTAAAAGCAGACCAGGTAGTGGACATTTTTCTTCTCCTGTGTTCAATCCTTCTTCATTTCTAATCATAATTATTAAACTCGCCATGTTTTGTTTTTTTACCAATTGCTAGTTGTCCAAAAGTCTGGTAATTTGTGTCGACTATTTGTGTATACTTTTAATGTCACAACTATTACAAATGTGTGCTTTAACCCCTGTTTGTGCCACAGTGACTTTTTAACCTGGTCAGGTGGCGCTGTGCCACCTGGTCAAACCTCACGTGGCTTCACCTCACCTTTCACACACAGAGCCCCAAGACCCTCACTGATAGAGACCCACAGTAATATCACTATGACCCAGGGCTTTTATACCTAAATGAGCTTCATTGGGCACTTTGACCCAGTTCTCATAGCTTGGTGTGCTTTACAAATGTTTTACTCTCCAGTCGTGTTAAAGGTACATCTTGATTTCAAAACCTTTGCCAATGCCATAAAACTATCGACAAGAAATCTATCAAGCACCTTCTTTTTTAAGATGGCAGGAACATGCTTTGATCTTTATATATTATTTATTGGACTTATCAGTCAATTTCTTTAGGATTCAAGACTTTAACTGGTGCTTTCTGTTTTTCAGGTGATGGGCGCTACTCCCTGCTGGGGCAGCCTCTCCAGTACAGCCTGTGCCCCCCCCTCATGCATGGCCAGTCCTCCTACAGCTCCCATCAGGTCAGTACTGGCAGGCCGCTGTAACGCATAACTCCAGCCTTCTACATCTTAAGGCTCAGATTGATCCTGCTCTTACAGACATTTCAAGAATGCATCGCTTTTTTTATTCAGTTCATGTCTAGCTTAAATGGAGCCATCATGAATCGCAAGCTCCAACATGTTTCTAAACACACTACCAGGTCAAATGTACGCCTTCCAGTTTGTCATTTGTCAAGACAAACAATGACATTTATTATTGTCACAACACAAGAACATATTTTGTACTATTATAAATGTAATTCTTATATCTGCATTTGTTTTTACGTGTTGTTGAGGGTGATAGAAATGTGTTAGTGACCAACTAGTCACCCAGGAATATAAATAAAATATAGCTGTGGGACAGTGGCAACTTTCCTCAGATCCAACCGTAACATGTTGGCTGTGGAAATAGTTTGAAATCGTCCTTTGCAGCATGTAACCATTCCAATCTAAGCCATAATACAGTGTGAGCTGGATATTTGTCTTCTGGAGTTTCCATTTAGCAAACACTGATTGCTTTCACCCCCACCTAGTGCCTTGCTGTGGAACTGCTTGTAATAATAAGCCTAATAAAACATTTGATGTGTTCAGGGCCAAGGAGTAATGAAACACGGGGCACGAGGGAAAAAACAAACACTCAAATCTCAATCAACAGACCTCGGCACCACTGATGTTGGTAAGTCAGCCGTGCATCCTCACCGAGCACAATATCCTCTGCCAGTGATGTCCTGAAGTGTTTCTGCTGGAAGAGATGGTAGATAATGGAGGGCAGCACACCGTGTGCTCGGGACCCCCTTGAAAAAGAGATGGTGTATCTCAAGGGGTTTATCCTAATAAATACATTTCAAATACAAAAAGGTTTATTTTCAGAATAGCTTTTTTGTCCTTAATTTCCTCTCACAAACTCCTCCTTATGATGTAAGGATGTATTGCAATGCATTTTCAGTTCAACGGTATTTGTTTGACCTAGAGCTTCTTTGGGGGATTTGATGTGAGAGGAGAAGGTCCCATAAAAAGATGTAGTATTTTTAGTTATTTAATAATCAATGTTTTATTATGAACATACAATTGAATTTCAGTATTCCAGAAGCCATATTGATTTTCCAAGTTAGATTCCTCTGGCATGAGATTTGTGCACCAATGCACGCCGCTAAAAGTCTGAAACAGACATAGCAGGTCTTTGAATCAGGTGTTTGATGTAAAGACCCTAACGTCCCCCGGTCTCTCTGTGCAGTGGTGAGTCGAGTCCTGGAGGTGACGGACCTGCCGGAGGGGATCTCCCGACCGGAGGCTGAGAAGCTCTTCAACCAGCTGTCCATGTGCGGTGCCAAGATCCAGTGGCTGAAGGAGCCCCAGGGAGGTCGGGGAGGGGGCTGTGGCCCTTGTCCCGGGGGGGGGCCTGCAGGGCCAGGTGCCGCCGCCGGCCTCGGGGCCTGCATGGGGGGGAAGGGAGTCGACCCGGCTCACCTCTACACCGTCGTGGCCGTGTTCCCCAGCACCATGGCCGCCCAGAGTGCTTCCTTCAAACTTAACAACAGCGGAGCCAGCCTCTTCAAACTGAGGGCCGCCAAAAAGAACTATGACCTGCGCGTGCTGGAGAGGGCCAGCTCTCAGTGAGGGGGGGAGAGGGGGAGGCAGGACAGAGTGGAAGAGACAGACAGAAAGAGAGACTCTTGGTGGAGTGGTGGAACAGGAAGGAGAACTGAGGCGGACTGCTCTTATTGTACAATTTAAAAACAAAACAAAAAAAATGTACTTGAGTTTAATGATGTGTCAAATGTATAAAAGGGAAGGTGTGAATCATGAGGTGGCTGGGGTTTGGTTGCAAATTTGGTTTTGTTTTTATTCATTGTTTTTGTTTTGTATTTATATAGCAGATGAGCACACAAGAGACGCGACCATGTGTTTCACTGTTGCCGTGGAATGTGCGCTGCCATTATACAGAAACACATGAAACTCCACACATACATACATACATACATACATACATACATACATACATACACACACACTTACAAGGAGACACAAACAAACACACAGTCAACAGGGTCACGTAGCACATAAGAAAAACACACTGGACAGTCAAACCTTTGCCCTCCATCCTTTCCCTCCCAACGCTGTCTCTCCTTCCTTAACTCTCCGTCACCCAGTTGTCTCTTAATCTCACATATTTATACATTTTCATAAGCACAGTTGCGCACCCTCTCTGCTCTCTTTTCTTGCCATGTCTCATCCTGCCTCTGCTCCCTCGCCACCTCTCATGCTCCCTCACTGCTCTCTCCTCTTGCTTTCTGTTTGCCTTACTGCTGTTGTGGGTTTCTTGTATTGCGCTGTTTTTGTTTTTTTCTCAGAATTTTTTGTTTTTGTTTTTTGGGATTCAATATATTTATATAAGTGATGTAAGGAATAAAAGAAATCTATATATTTAGTGATTTTTCTTTCTTTCCCCTTGAGTGAAAAGATGTAGGTCTTCCTTTATCCTTTACTCCTCCCATCTTCATCCCCCTCTCCTCTCCTACATTTGTTTCCTCCTTACTGCCCTCTACCTCACTTCTTCGGCCCTCTCCTCTGACCCACACCCCCCCCCCCGCACCCGAGTTCCACCCCAACGCCCCGTTGTGTTTGCGTTTTTCGTTGACAGCTGTGCAGAACGTTCAGAAGAAGTAGTTAAAGTGCACAATGATTGCATATGTCTACTGTACATTTTATTTAATCTGTTATTTTTTGTTTGTTTTTAAAAATATAAAAGTCGAGAAAAAATCTATCAAAACATCCTCTGTGTCATGTGGTTAATTTTTTGACTTGAAGCTGACCTGAAGTCTGAGCCAGACCGAACACAAAGTGTGTGTGCGTGCGTGCGTGTGCGTGCGTGCGCGTGCAGGTGTGTGTGATACAGCGAGCATATGTGGACGTACTGTTGGCAGGAAACAAGATGTCCTAATGTGTTGGGCCGCTTCAACAGCTTCAGTGTGACTTGGCGTCGCTCTCTTACTTGTTTTTTTATTACGTGACTAATGGCCAAATTACAATACATGGATTACAGTATTTCAACATAATTGTCCATTCAATGAAACACTTTTAGTTATGTCACTGTTTGAAAGGGTCCCCCACGAGTTCCATACAGTAACTTACAATTGTTAGTAGGCTACTGGTAAGATTATTACCAACAGAAACATAAACGTATCACTCCTTAAAATGTATGAATGCTGGGTGATTTGAATCTACAAAGCTTCATATCCTTTCAAATAGTTTCAATGTTTGCATATATTTGTCCTTACTATACTGAAGTTATATGTCTTCAATGCATCTAACTTTAAATTCAAAGCATACTTTTTCATTTTGTCTGTGGAGAACCCTGTTCCGCGTTTCAGTCCAAAGTTGTAGGTTAAGTTTGGTTAAACATTTTCTCACAATGGCTTCCTTAAATTCAGGAGTTGCGCTAACAGATGTCTGCTCCAGCTTCAGGTGAAGGAAAGCCACATTTTCCTTTTTAGACCAGAGGCATCCAAACTACGGCCCGGGGGCCATTTGAATCGGCCCTCGGCAAATTCAAAATGTATAATGAAATATGGCCAACCAATGAAACTTGTGCTTGTCTTGTATGGTAGTTCTTAAATATAGATGAAAACATATTACACAGTATTCATGTGTTAAGAAGCCCACTCTTCAAACAAATGTAGTCAATTAAAGTTGAAAACATTTTCTATCAAATCTAAGTTAAGAAAAAAGCTGACTGACCACACAGTTTTGTTTTTATGAGCCTCTACCAACTGGTCGAGCTGGCCTTCTATGGTAAAAGTACATTTTCAACAATCATCATATACAGTACAGTATTTGTATGCATTAACTCAAATAAAACACAAACTCAAATACATTTGTTTCTTTTATGTAAAATGAGCAATATATACAACCAGATATATTCATAAAAGATAATAAATTATATAGTTGTAAAAAAAATAAAATGGAAAAAAGTAATAAAGTGTTTTTCATGATAAAAAAAGACTTGCTCATCTTACTGTATATGCTGAATTGGCCTAACAGCAAATGTCTATATCCTGTGTTGGCCTAACTTGCTCATCTGTGCAACTTTGGACTGAATGTCATGCATGAAAGGTGCTATATAAATTATTTTCACTCTGAGACTCATAAGGCAGTACTAGATTTAGTAATATTACCATGAATCTAGCCATTTATTTACCATATTTTATTGGAAAACATCTCTGAAACTCTGAAAAAGTCATATTGCTAGCTTACCAAAAAAGGCCAATTCGACCGATTGGTTGAGCATATTTTCCAAAAAATAATTACACCCTTGTTAAAACTTTTTTTGTGCATCAAGTTATCTAATTATGTTCAGTCAGTGCCCTGCCACTAAAATATGTCAAAAAGGATATGGTTACCTTACAAAAGTTGACCAAAAAGAGTGATTTCTTCAGCAGTGATTGTTAGCATTGCCAACTTTCTCAGTTGAAGCTAGCTGAAGGGCATTCTGTTTGAACCACAGTGACATCTAGAGGTTGTTTTGTGCATAACATGTCAACCAAAGGGTAGAGCTGGCTGAATCAGATGGAATTCAACTTTTTTTTTTTTTTTTTCAACAAGATATCAAGACACAAAATGTGCTCTACCAAATGGTGGTGCTGGCAGTTAAAGGGCTAGTGAGCGGCCCAGCCCTTCGTATATTTTTCTGTATGTGGCCCTCGGTGGAAAAAGTTTGGACGCCCCTGTTTTAGATCATTTGCACTTCTGTCCCGATGATTTTTTCTCCATATATTTTTGATGAACTCATCATCTTAGTCCCAAGAATGTTCCCAAAACATGAACAACATCAAGTAGAACAATACATGTATTATCTGCACCAGTGTTACAGAATACACAGGATTCAGAAAGATAGTAATTTAATATTTTTCGAAATGTTTCCTTTCTGACCTTACCTATTAATCATTCTGATATCGGCAACACACAGTATTGGACCTGCTGTTCATCGAAGATATCCTTATAGTCAGTGTTTATAGGGAGAGAATTGGAAGCCAAATAAAAGAGCCTGACTGAAAACTGAATATCAATATGTGAATGGAATGTGGAATGTTGATTCAAAAAAATACAAAAACATGTCAAAAGCAAAAAGCAGAAGCAAGAAAAACAGAAGATGTCTCACCAAAAAGAGGTATTTATCACGCTTTACTTGACAAATAAATGTTAAGGCTACTTTATACTTCTACCAAACAAAGATACATACTGTACTGCATTCTATCAATTTCCCTGCTATGAAAATACTTACTTTGTAGACTAAGTGTTTACTTACAAAACATATGAGCAGTTTATAAAATATGAAGCATTGTTTAAGATTAAACCAACAGTATATGGAGCTGTTGAAATCAGCCTTAACATTTAAATGCAGCTTACATGATATCCAATATTATGATAACACTCAAAGGGGCCATTCTGCAGTACCTAGTTTGTTACTTGTGATCTGATGCGTTCTGTTCATTTTGTTGCCAAGACTTCTGTAGCCTTTGATTAAATCAGTTATTGAATCAAGCAATCTCAATACTCTTTCAACTAATGGGTTGGATACAAAATAGTTGTAGAACTGTTGTTTTTTGCTAATGTGACTCCAGTTGGTGCAAATACCAATACACATGAATTATATACACTGGTAAAGAAGTCAGAAATAAAACCATAAAAACAAGTGAATGTTTGTTTTTGAAAAACTTCTAATGTTTTTAAGTTACCTGCTCAAAGAAAGTAACATTAATCCGTCATTTATAGTCATCACTGTGATATGCTTTGCTCCATATGTGTTTGGTGGCAATAATAGCACTGCTACTACTACTACTACTACTACTACTACTACTACTACTACTACTACTACTACTACTACTACTACATGTATCTAACATTTTGTCACTGTTTTTTCCAAAAGACTACAAAGGTCAAATAAAGCCCTCTGGATCCTGATATAATGGAGAATGAGGCAGAACATTTCTATGTCAGCGAGAGAGGTTCAACCTCCAGAACTTCTAGCAAGAAAATCGAGAAGACGGCCTCCTCCCCCTCCTCAGTAACCTCTGAAGTTGCCAGCACTATCGTCTCAGAGATACTTGAACGATCTACTGGGAATTTATGCGAGCTGTTGCAGTCTATCTCCAGGTGGGAGGCTGATGACGATGGAGACAAATCCTCTGCTGCCCGTCGTGTTAACCAAAATATTGAGCATGAGTTGGACCGTTTCTTTGGCCTCCGGCGTCTGTTCGCAGAATACCAGGGAGAGACATTGGAAGACACAGACAAAGACATTGTTCCTGAGATGGATTCAGCACCAGGACCATCAGGACAAGAAGGACATAAAACTGCAACTATCAGTACACAGACATCTCGTGATTCTGATAGGACAGATGAGAAACCTACAGGCAGTACGAAATATGAGATGGTGAAGTCTGCATTGAAACGCTGCTTTAAACTGGAGCAAAAGACAGCAGATCAGAACTATGGCTTTCCATGTCCTGAAGAGGCGTTTCCCTCGGCCCATACACCCCCCAGTGAGGACATTGGGGACGCAACGCATGAAGACCTGAGCTTTGTCCCTCTGCAGTTGGTTGATCATGTAGAGCATGAGAATTCGATAGTGCAAAAGACTGTAAATACTTCCTCACACCCAGATGAGATTGTCGGATTAGACAGCAGTGAGTCAACATCTAAAGAAAATATCCAGAAAAAGGTGTGCTTCCAGGAGATGGATGAACCCTCCCAGAACAAAGATGTCTGCCAGACTGCTCTGACTGTCAGTGCAGAGAAGCTTTGTGAATCTGACATGACGGATGTGAAATCTGAAAACAGACTTGAAAGCAACATCTACAAGAAGATTAAGACTTCACTGAAGAGCTGCTTGGAATCAAAACCGAAGAAGGTCCAGTTTGCAACTGAAAAGGATTTGGATGAAGCTGTCAAGTCTGGCTCTACATGTCCTAAAGAGACATCTCCAAATGTAGACATCAAGTCTGCTGAGAAAATAGACCTGAACTCTGTCCCTCTGGAGATTAATAATAATGTAGGGAATGAGGAAGTCCCACCAGAGAACAAAGAGGTTCCTTTAACTTTCTCCCCCACCGGCTCATCTCAACCAGTGGAGCATGATGAAGTAAGCTTTGACGTCATGGATGAAGACCTTGTCACAATCACAGAGTCTGCACCAGGACCCTCAGGGCAGGATCTTGAACCTCCTCAGGGCCACCTGGCAGCTATCAGCAACTTGACGTCCAGCAGTGAATCCCCGGAAGAGATATATATCAGTTTCTCCACTGGCTCCAGTGAGGACTTACAGTTTGCTGAGGAAGTAGACCTGAGCTCTGTCCCTATGGACCTGATGGATACGGCAGAAAGGAATGACACACCAGAGAGTGTCATAGACAAATTGATGGAGGACGACCTGGTCACAGTAATGGACGCAACATCAACAGTTCCCCTGGTGTTGCTGGGAGCAGGATATGTGGATAAGGTAGTCGAGTCAGCCAGCAGTGAATTAACTTCCGAAGACAGTTCTCAGACAAATTCAGGATCCCTGTTTTCTGGAGAGTTGTCCTTTATGGTAATTGATGCACCCTCCCAGGAACACGACATATATGTCTGCCAGACTGCTCTGAAGGACAGTGCACAGAGGTTTTATAAACCTGACTGGACAGATGTGAAATCAGCAAGCACATGTGAAAGCAACATCTACAAGAAGATGAAGTCTTCACTGAAGAGCTGCTTTATATCAAAACCAAAGAAAAAGGTCTGGCAGGCAACCGAAGAGGATTTGGATGAAGCTGTCGGGTCTGGCTCATGTCCTTACTTGACATTTGAACACAGTAACCTGACAAATTCAGCATCCCCGTCTTCTGGAGAGTCGTCCTTTGTGGAGGTGGATACACTCTCCCAGCAGATAGACAAAGATATCTGCAACCCTGTTCAGGCTGTCAGTACACAGGAAGAGTCAAAAAGCAAGGACTCTCTCTCTCTATGTCCAGAGGAGGACAGACTTCCTGAGCATTTCCAAGAGGACAATGTAGACGCAGCGCTACCCCAGCTCACTGGCCTGAAAAACATCTTCTACAAAACAGTCAAGGGATTCTATGACAGCGTTAACGAAGAGTACGTTATTTAATTTCCTCACTGAAAGTCCTTTGAACACTTAAATACAATTCACATTTGTTATGAATGTTTTTTGGTGATTTCGCTTTTTTAAACTGTTTGTTTTCTTTTTTAGGCAGCGGATGTTATTAGGAGGAGGTGTTTATGACCTTAATGTGAACGACAAGCTGGCTAGCGTGTGCGTGGAGGGGCTGAGTCTCATCATTGAGACCATCACCGACACCCTTTTAAAATCTGTGAATCAATATGCAACACCATGCGGTTCCTTGACCTCTTCCCAGGCATGTGCCAATTTGTCCCCAGAGACTCTCCAAAATAAATGTGTCATCATAGAAGGCAACCTCCAGCAGAGTCTGAAAAGCTCATCTGCCGAGGCTCTTAGTGGCTTTGTTGATGCTGACATGTATCTTGGCATAACTCCAACATTCACAGAGGGCATCTTGAGAGCGATCAGTGATGAGGTTACCTCTGTTCAGTCAGAGACCATAAATGCTTTTCTGAGCGGAGGATCCTCCAACGATCACTCTGACACCTGCTGCAAGTCCTCATGTTGCAGGTTATGCAAGAGGAGGTCGGCAATCGTGGAAGTGCAATCCCTATTTACGCAACACAAGATAGTGAAAACCACAAAACATTCAGATGCAAGGAGTAAAGATGACAAATCTAGCAGTTCTCATACAAGAAAAGTCCAGGAGAATAAGCTGGAGTGGTGGATCTGCTTTCGTAAAATGAAGGAGAAGAAGATCCATCCGGTTTCCGACAAACAAGGAGACACGGAGGTCAGAGTGTCACCAAATAAACTGTCACCTGAACACAAACTCTCCTCGTCTCCTGGAGCCTCATCTAACATCTGCTCCACCCCTCTGGAGCTGTTTGATTATGAAGAAGAGGATGAGGATGACACATCAACGGACACCGGAAGCAACCCATCTCCAAACTGGATTGACTTTTTTCGAATAGATTCCATGGAGGAGGAGGAGGAGGAGGGAGGAGGAGGAGGAGGAGGAGGAGGAGGAGGAGGAGGAGGAGGAGGAGGAGGAGGAGGAGGAGGAGGAGGAGGAGGAGGAGGAGGAGGAGGAGGAGGAGGAGGAGGAGGAGGAGGAGGAGGAGGAGGAGGACGACGACGAGGAGGAGGACGAGGAGGAGGAGGACGAGGAGGAGGAGGAGGACGAGGACGAGGAGGTTTTCATTGTCCCAGAAAACCGAGAAAGGTTACTTCTGTTACAAACTCAGACCATGAAGAGAAGCTTGTTTTGTCCTCATTCTGTTGATTCTGGCTCTGGGAAGAATGATGTCATGGCTGCCAGGAAGCGCAAGGAGACATTCACCTGGGTAATGAAATTGATCAGACTAGTTTGAAAGAAAACACAAGACTGTATTAAACAAGATGAGAGAAAACATAGCTAAGTTACATAGAATAAAAAAGCGTAACTAAAAGGCATTTACTGTTCACTTTTCCTACACAAGTACACATTTGAAAGATAAATGAATTACACTTGATAAAGCCATTTTGTGTATGAAATGACTGGAATTCAGGTTTTCTTTTGTAGATATTACTATTATGTTTGCTGTTTTTGAGGATCTGAGGTTGTGAAATTAGAGTTGGCTTCTTTTCCAGACCTCTCGTGTCATCTCTATGCTGAACTGTACAGGTTTATTGTTTTAAAACTGTTTACTTATGTTGTTTTTACATTTTAATCACAGGATCAGAAAGCTTCAGCTTGGGATCAGCCTGTCCGGACCGAAAGGCTGTGTCCGCTGAGAAAGATGTTCTGCTGCTGTTCCCTCAATGAGTGACCTCTCCACCAACTGAAAGCTCTTCTCTTTCTTCTGCCTTAACTGTTCTCTAACTACAGACACAAGACTACTGCAACTACAAAGAGACACAAACGACAACAAAGAGACACAAACGACAAGTTTATTCCCTCTCTTCCCTACCCTTCTTTCTATCTCGATACAAATAAATAAAGATATAACTGCAAGTTAGTGTAGTGTTTCTGTATTGTCAATGGTAAATGATGTCCTTTTCTGGTATATGTTGCATTTGTAACATTGTTGAGGATCTATTTAGTGGGTTATCCGGCACTTTCAATCATATCACATGATCTTCAGAGATTTTAGTTCATTTTAAACACTAAGGGTTTAATTTAAGGAGAAAAAAGGTCACATCATATAATATATCGTTTTTAACACATTGTAATGTAGTTTATTGTTGTACAGGGCATTATACTATAACCATGACAAAGGGGTGACATGACTAAGTTCTATGTCACATCGAAGCCAGTGGTCTCCTTTTAGAATAACATGTACTGTATGATTCAAGAGGGAACTCCTTAACATTGTTCCAACTAAGGGCTTTCCTCACATTTTGTGCTGCAAAATCACGGAATGAGCTTCGAAAGATCATGTAGGCTCCTTAACTCTTTAAAATAAAGATTGATAAGTTATTCTAAAAAATAGTATTATGTCCAACTATAAAGCTGATCTGTGACAGTTATTGTTATTTTAAACATTTAAAAGTTTTTCACATTTTGTGATTGACATTTTTAGTTAGTAAGTTACAACACATGTTATTCATATTTGGTTGAAAATAATTTTTTCAAGATTTCACTTTCAAAACTGACAAGATAAATGAGGTGCTCAAACTGTTTGGGAGTGTGACAATATTTAACATGACGCTTTAATATGCTGTGAGTGAGGCAACTGAAGCTGAGCAGAGCTTCTCAGCTTCAGTAGTGCTCAGCTGTCCCAAGCAGTCACACACACACACACACACACACACACACACACACACACACACACACACACACACACACACACACACACACACACACACACACACACACACACTGGGTTGGGCTGGGTTTGGCTGGGTTTGCCTGCTGGCATTACTCATCCAATCTCCCACCTGTTGGAGTCTCATTTGGAAAGTTGAGCATGCAGAGGACTGATCAGCAACGCTACAAAAAGTCAGAGAAAGTCTGAAGCTTCAGGGATCCCTATGTTAGGAACCATCTCACTTTTAGAAGACGTGGAATTCCAGTTTCACGGTCAGTTGTACGAATGATCTACCCTCTACCCTCTTTTAACCCATTACTAACACTCTCTGTTTAGTGTTGGGTCGTTTCTTGTTTATGAATTTGAACATGAAAAGGACCAAAGCTTCACTTGGGGTGGCTAACATTCCTTGATATCAATTGGAGTAACCTTTTTCTGATTTTTAAATTACCTTTATCTCAGGATTTCATTTATTTAGGAGAAAAACCTAAATTAATACATTTGTAAAGTTTGGATCATCATTTTTTCCTAAGTTCAGGACATATGGAGAACCTGATCACAATATTTTTTTACAAAGCCTTCATGAAAAAAGTGCCTTGTCATAAGGTTACAACCAAAGAGATTAAGAACAATGGCCAAGCCCAGGGAGCAGGAACGCTAAATGCTCAAAATTCCTCCAAATGGCTTGTTTTACACAAACTGTTTGCAGTTATTGTGCTCACTTTTTTACTCATTGTACATTTTATCTCTTTTAAGACAACTTTTATTGTTATGCAAAAAATATCTATAAAATACATTATTGGTTGTCGGTTTAGTTATCAAGAGAAGGGGTCCATTGTAAGGTGAGGAACAACTGGTGTAGAGCAACCAGACAAGGGGGAAACCCTCTGGATGTGTTTGCCGTACATTTTATAAAACGCCATGAGAAAGGCTCATGAGTTTAACTTTTATCCGGAACAGAACTCACTGTTCATTGCATCTGATAATAGACTGCTGTTCACTGATGAGTCATGACAGAAGCAATGCAAATCAGAGGAGAAGGTCTCTGAATTCAAGTAAAAAAACAAAACAAGATATGTTAATCTTATTTTCACCTGAGGTTCCTGGATGGTTATTTATTGTAAGTCAAGCTGAAATAAGTTGCTTTCCTATGTGATATGATGACTTACAAGGATTTTAGAGGACACTGTTTGGGGGAATCCCTCTACAGAAACAGAAGTGATGCTCTGTGTTTTGTTGACAGTGCCATCTGCTGGTCCGCGCTCTGAATATCTGGAGGAACTAAACTTCAACTGACCAAACGACACCATGGCTAACTGCGACTTGTAAGTTGTGCATATGTGAATGTAAAATGAAAATATTTGTAAAGTAAGAATTTTTACGAGTTTTTAGGCCAGCATCCCTATGTGTGGTCTCTTTATAATCCTAAGTAACATTACATGTAGTGGTACACCAACACAAAACATAAATTACACTTAAGAAACCCTAAAAATCACCCAAGAAAACCCCCCAGAATGTGACTTCTGAGGCATTCAATGACTCAGTCAGACCACCGTGAAATATAAACCACATATTTGTCTTTTGCGTTTCAACATTTGCTTCTCTGTGTGACATTTGCTACCCGATGATGACAGGATGGATGACAAGAACTCTGTGGATATTCATGACGACCCCCCTCCCCCCGATAATGTGATGAAAGAGGAGGACAACACGGTGAGACATCCTATATCCTCAACATACCATGTGGTACACACACATCAAGGGGCTGTATACCATTTATACACGCCAAGCAACTGCACACAAATGTTACATTGCATTGGGAAATATTAATGTTGGATGTCAACATTGAAGCTTAGGCTATATCCAAATCAATGGTTGAATACAATTAAATTACCAAAAACTAATTTCAGTTGTATTGTATATATAGTTTTAGTGGTATGACATAGACATAGTTTTGGACTTGCTTGCTTAGAGTTTTAGATGAACAACTTTTTGCAAATCCATAAAGTTTTATAGTCCAAAACATCACTTTTTTGAATCTGTTATGTTTATTTATTGGATTTCATACAGCCTCATGTCTTGTTATCACACCTGATACATTATGTCGGGACAGATATCACGTCCCCTGTCTTTCTGCTCTCTTGATTTGTGCAATATTGCCACGGTGGGTTTGTATAAGTCGACTCTAAGCTGAGATGTACTGAGACAATGTGGGAGGTTTGTTTAGGATTGATGTCAGCTAAATAGAGTTGCAGAGTGATGGCGCTGTAATGTGTGAACTGTCCCGGGTATTATCAGTTATTCTAGTGTAAATCCGCAGCCGGCGGCCACAGGACGCCTCTAATCCTGCCAGAGATGGAGAGTCAGAGCCAGTGCAGCCTGTCAGGCGTCCCTCTGAGCGTGTGCATGTGTGTGTGCACATCTTTGGATGTGTGTTTGACATAGGGCTCTGTTTGACTGTTATGTAGTATATTTAGGAGTAGGTATGTGGAGCTTTGTATCATTCAGTCGGGAATTCTGTCTTGCTCCGGTGTGTGAGCGCTATTTTGAGATCTAAGTCTCTCCCATCTGTGTGTGTGTGTGTGTGTGTGTGTGTGTGTGTGTGTGTGTGTGTGTGTGTGTGTGTGTGTGTGTGTGTGTGTGTGTGTGTGTGTGTGTGTGTGTGTGTGTGTGTGTGTGTGTGTGTGTGTGTGTGTGTGTGTGTGTGTGTGTGTGTGTGTCATTAGTCACAGCTCTGACTCTGGCTGATATGATACAGTTTGTGAGAACAGACACCAGACAGACTATATGACTCAGTCCGCAGGGTGCTTCAGTATTAATAGCATCATTCTTAGTTATCAATCTGCTAGGCTGTGGGTGGTGCAGGCTACTAAGACTGATAAATAAGTAAAAAGGCAAATATAGGACAGTAATAAACAATTCAATGAAATCCTTAAACTGAATCATTTATGAACAATTCATCTTTTCCCCCCGACTTTGCTTGATTGAAGACACAAATAAATTGCCCGAAGGCTTTTTGACATTCTCCATTGCTGGCTGCTGTTACACTCAATTGAAGTGCATTGTGTTTTATGATTTCCGGCAGTTTTATATTGAACATTTATGACCCATATTAATCTGCTATTGTACCCCTTTCATCACTCAGGTTTATTTCATATATGATGAGGAAGTAGAGGTGGAAGAAAAAGAGGAACTTCCTGTAGAACCAGTGAGACCAGTCAACGACAGCCCTCACAAGTTTAAGGACCATTACTGCAAGAAGCCAAAGTTCTGTGACGTCTGCGCTCGCATGATAGTTTGTACGTCCACCTCTTTTCCTTTCTTGCATGACAAAAAAAGTGGACCTCAGTGCCTCTTGTTCTTCCCTGGTGTCATTTCGCCTGATTTTGTTTCTCTCCTCAGTAAACAACAAGTTTGCATTGCGATGTAAGAACTGCAAAACCAACATCCACCACCAGTGTCAGTCCTATGTGGAGTACCAGAAGTGTTTTGGAAAAATTGTGAGTTTATGGAGTAACAAAAAAATGCACTGCAGAGAATTGACCTTCAGATAAACAGTGTACATGCTCCTCTCCTCTTCCAGCCTCCAGGATTCAGGAGAGCGTACAGTTCTCCTCTGTACAGCACTCAGCAGAATGCCACCGTCTCACAGCTGCTGCCCTTTTGTGAGTCCAACTTGTGTACATTTCATAAAGCTAAATGGACCATTTTGCTTTGCTTAATCTTATTTAGTAAATATGCTTCAACATGTAGAAGTATTTCCCGGACAGATGATGCAAGAGGACAAACATTTTTGATCAATCTTTTCATTTTTACCTCCTAATCATTAGTATTTAGTCATGTATTTGAATTATGACACCATCATCAGATACCATAAGAGTGGCTGTTCTTTACAAAATGCATGATTACCACAGCTCTACCCTGCTTAAACTTTGCTAAGGTGTTAGAAGTATCATTCCAAAGTCACAAATAAGATTGCTGGGATAACAAAGCATGAACAGCCCTTCTTTAAGTCCATCACTGCAGTCACATTAAAGTTGATTTTAAATATACTTTGTTAGAACTGCATACTCATCTGGATTTGTGTTTTCTCTTAATGTGAATGGATCAATGACGTTTGATGCGCAGCACAGTCAAACCGCACCGACCCAGTGTTTGAGACGCTGCGTATCGGTGTGATCATGGCCAACAAGGAGCGTAAAAAAGGGTCAGATGAGAAGAAGAATGTGAGTGTAAATGCACAAACAACATTACACTTGTATTGCACCTTTTCATTGATGTCAAAGTGCTTTACTCAATGTTTAACATATTCTCTACAGTACAACAAGTACATCTATGAATTTGCTATGCTACTTTTATTTGAAAGATCGGAGTACTTTGTCGACCACTGTGTGAACTACTTCACTACACTTTGATGTATGGGTATCCCTGGTGTGTTACAGTATATTTGTTATAATGTCTTGTGTAACATTTATCTTAAATTGTTAGATGATGATGGAGGAGGATGATGAGTCCCAGCCAAAACAGGAGGGTGAAGAAGGGGAAGAAGGTGAGTGAGAACAGAAAAGTGATCAACATTGGAAAGGGGTGTTTGGTTCCACCTTGGAAGGAAATGTTTTTGTGTTAAATAGATCAAATAAAATAAAAACGTTCATTATTTTTTTGCCTTCAGTTTGTGTTTTTGGGAGTTTCTTCAATGCTAATGTTTAACCACGACAAACTGTAAATAACATTAAAAAGTATTAACAATGATTACATTTGGAATGATTTGTTTTTTTGTCTCGTTTTTATTCTTGTGACGTACCAGCAAACACAGAAGGAGACAAGGCTGCAGTAAATGACAAGGTATGAAAATGTGACAATGAAAACAACAACAATGATGTCAATGAAAACAAACTAAGACACTTTCTTAAGGCAGCACTTTATGTGTTTTTGTTGATCAGAGTAAAAAGTTCAATGCAGGGAAGATGGGCGTGTTCAGTACGGCTCACTACTACATGGCTCTGTACCGCTTCAAAGCCATAGAGAAGGATGATCTGGACGTTCAGTAAGCCCCCCCCCCCAGCAACAACTCGCTTAATCTCTCTCTTAGTGTCTGCAAAGCTCTTCGTTTATACTATTTCCCTGACTGTCTCACTGCCAGCAAACATACTGTTTTTTGTGTCTCTTCTATATTTGAATATGTAATATCCTGTGTGTTCCCAAGTGCTGGTGACCGCATCACAGTGCTAGATGACTCCAATGAGGAATGGTGGAAGGTGAGTCCTAGATTAGTTTTCTTATTCCTCTGGGTATTGTTTTTTTTTTTTACTTTACAGAAACTTTTCAATCGCTTTATGATCAGTTAGGTAGATTTTGTTCATTCTCCAGGACTTCGTTTTTGGAGAAAGAAGAGTTATTGTGGATTGAGGTTTGAAACGAGTAAAGCGTTCAACTGTGATACATAGATCTGCAGCTTTGCAAGATGGCAATCTGTTCCTAAGTTTTGACCTTTTATACTTAAAAATGATACTTTAAAAAAAGTTCCAAGTCAAAACATACATTTATAATTTACAGTTTCTAGGCTTCAGCCTCACTTTTATTTCCCTCATGCTGGTCTCTATGGTTAAATAGGCTTTTTCTTTGAATGAACATCATTCAAAGTAGGCCGCACCATATAGTGTCTATCTACCCCTGATCAGATAGCTGTTGCACTTACAGTCCTGACATTGGTCTTTGCTTTCAGGTCACTCAGGTTTCAAAGCTACAATGAGCAATATGTTCATGAACAGTACATTAGAAACTGGGGCTGCACCACTTCACTGTAAAAGCTTTCATCCACCAGGGGAAGATCAGAGAGAGAACCGGCTTCTTCCCGGCCAACTACATCATCCGAGTGCGAGCAGGAGAGGGGGTCTACACTGTCACTCGCTCCTTTGTCGGCAACAAGGAGAGGGGCCAAATCACTCTGAAGAAAGACCAGGTTAACACACACACACACACACACACACACACACACACACACACACACACACACACACACACACACACACACACACACACACACACACACACACACACACACACACACACACACACACACACACACACGCATGATTATATAACCTAACCATTTATGCGTCCTAAAAATAAACCTAATCCCAGTATCCCTAAACTGAACACACTAAAATAAAGATTCAAGAGCTTGAAATATGTTGTGTATATCTATGAAATATGTTGTTTGATGACAGTTTATCCTCTTAAGTACACTAACACAACACACAGTGTTTACATTACACACAAGTACACCGACACGTTAATGCGGCCTAAAGTACTGTGTGACCAGTTCTCAGATCAATTCTCTATAGATCTTTTGCTTAATTAAGTCAAAGTAAATCCACTGTTAGGCATACACTGGAGACATTTCAAGCCTTAATAATTAATAAACACAAGGATCAAAAGGAAGAAGGCAAAAATAACAAACACAGTAATTATGCAGTTCTCCACACAAGGGTTTTCAAAAGTGAATTTAAAAAAAACATAATGACTTCCAGTTCAATTAATTCAACATGGTCTAGATATTCAGTTAAATACAGACATCGTGTGTTGATGGATATGTGATGGATATAAAAGCATGAATAGACACACGCACACACACACACACACACACACACACACACACACACACACACACACACACACACACACATGCAGATGTCAAGCATGTGCCCTGAGACAGATGTTGACTGATTAATGTTTGGTCACTGACATCTGAAACAGTGTGGAACTTTGCAGCTGTTTTAATGTAAATCTTGTAGTAAATGATCTGCACATTAACTTTAAATTCTTGTTCTTCTGGTGAAAACTTGGAAACTAGTAAGCATTAGGCCTGATGCATTGTTATCTGCAAAAATGGCCTGTGAGCTGTCCATACATAATTGCTTTAACAGATCACGCTAAAATGCACGCCCTTCAAAATCTGTCTTCACATTTGTCTCCAACTGCAGCTTAAGCAAAAGTAGCTTAAAGCAAAACCCCATACGTAAATCACTTTGGGTCAAATCCTTTTTTATTATCGGTCTGTCAGATTGTACAAATCACTTTACTTTTTGCCTTCATGCACTGACATACTGTAGTTACCCTAAAAGGGCTCCAAACATGCTTTCACATTTCTGTTCTTAATTGCCGTTTGTTGAATGTGTTCTGCATTTATAAATATGTCATTGCACACTGAACTGTTGGATTACAGATACATTTCTGCCCCAAATTGTTGTGTCAATAGATCTGTTTTTGATTTGTAGTGCAAAAAATCCCACACATTAAGCCTACACTTGTGAAAGATACTTAAGAAATGTCCAAGTCTAAGTGTGTGTGTGTGTGTGTGTGTGTGTGTGTGTGTGTGTGTGTGTGTGTGTGTGTGTGTGTGTGTGTGTGTGTGTGTGTGTGTGTGTGTGTGTGTGTGTGTGTATTCTCAGATTGTAGTAAAGAAAGGGGAGGAGGTAAACGGCTACCTGAAGGTCAGCACAGGACGGAAGCTCGGCTTCTTCCCCTCCAACCTGCTGCAGGAGATCTGAGGAGGAGACAGGTGTCAGCTCTCATCTCAGTTTCTTCACCGGCTTTTTTCTGCAACAGTTTTCTTCTAACGCAACACTCTCGACTTGAATTTTGGTTTCAAAACACTTTTTTTTCTTATGTCTAAACGCACAACCTTACAAGGCAACTCTGCACAATACAATTCCGATGAATTTACTCAGAGTGCGAGAAGCCATGTGTTAAAAAGGGAGATACATAACAAAGTAAAAGTGTAAAGGTTTAGTCTACAAACATGTAAGTGTTTTACCTCTTTGAACCTGTGTGCAGCACACAGGTCACTTTCAGTCATTTTGTTATAACGCTTATTTTGTATTTCAGATATATTCTGACAATGTCACTGAAAGTGCATTTTTATATTCCAGGACTTGCTTTATCAAGGAGCTCTTGTTTTAAGTTTTTTTTGTATTGCACTTTTTGTTAACTATACTGTGTATTAAGCATGCTTTTGTGATTATTATAAAAGGAGGAGGTTGTCGAAGATCTTTCTGTGAACACCATCATTGAGTCATTGAGCCTTTCCTTGAAGAATATGAGGCTTGGATTATTTTGTTGGGCTGCTGTTCCTTTTTCACAGCTATTTCAACAATAATATTTTACACACTATTGTATGTAAACTGATCATGTATTACTGGTTCTAAACCAGTTCTGAACACTAGAGACACACATTTGTAGGCACATTTAACATGCTGTTAGCATGGACAGGACAGCAAGTATTCTCCCAATCCCCATCAATGGGATGTAATGCCAAATGCACTGCACCTGTAGCTTTTATACCATTTTAAATATGTGACATTTTATCAAACGTATCACCTCACATGTGCATTTAAATGTAGGTATCATCATGACAGTAGTGAAAAACAAAACCTTTTCAGATTACCATTAAATGTGTTAGATTACAGACATATACAGACTTTGGACAGAGCGTGTGTGTGTGTTCATGCATGCGTGTGTGTGTTTAAAGGAAGTGTCAAAGATGTCTGAGTAACTGAAAATAATTTGGTGAATATGTGCTGTATTTCTGAGCCATTATTGTTTTTGGAGTCATTCATAGTGGATGGGAGAAAGCTTTTAGTTTATCTATCATTTCTCAATTCAATGAGACGGAGGAATTTTCCAGAACTTCAAAAGGATGCAGAGCTATTTTCTGTAGCTACCCTGAGTGCAGTGTAATTATCCCTAGGAAACACTGTGGGGATGGCTTGCTATGTAAAGTGACAGCTCAGAGATCAGGTATGCAGGGAATGGCATCTGAACGTCCAAAGAGACATTCCACTAGTGACTGCAGGCCTGGATAACACGACAGCTAGATAGACAGACACAGGTTCACTTTTATTTGTTAACGTACATATCTATTTTACCATTTCATCTTGCCTTCTGATTGTTGTCAATACAATACATTCTTTAATTCTTGTACATTTGCTGTGTCACTACTCTTGGATAGATCCCCCCCTTTGTTTATGTTTATGTTGTTCTCTCCCTCTCTCTCATTCTTTCAACGATCACTTTTGGATGCAGATGATGAGTTGCCTGGTCACACCTCCTTCCCACTCTGTTGTCTGTCAAAGGAAAAAGAGAGCAGCGTGGCCGAGCAGGTAGCGCTGCCAGGCTTCAGCAGTCCTCCGATAGGACAACAGGGCACCCCTTCAGACACGGGTCACCTCCTCCTGGGAAACAGCCTCTGCTTCATGCGACTGAGGACCCATGGTAACCGCTTTGGAAGATATCACAGCTGCCATGTTGTCATCCCCGACCCCCTGACCCTGCCACTCTAGACAGGCAGGATGGAGGAGGGTTGCCAAAATGTTTGCGGATCGGGTGGGTGGATGATTTGATATGAGTGTGTGTGTGTGTGTGTCTGTGTATGAGAGTGCACTGGTGAGAGGTTGAAGGCATGGGGTGGGGTGACGGTCTGATGCTGTGGCAATGAATCTGTTTAATTCCAGAGAATTTCATTTTTATTGTGGACACCACATCAAGAGACCAACTGTTAAACTTGTATTTGCTCAGGTTTATATCAAACAATGACACAAACATAACATTGGAGAGTTATAAAAGGTTAATAACCTCAACATAAAGCACTATTTTTTGAATTTCACAAATCCCCAATACATTACAATATAAATGTAATATATAAGAAGATTTTGCATGTGTAAAAGTATACTACACTGAAAACAAAGTGTGGTCCGGAGACACAGTGATCATGCAATGATGATTTTACCCAACAGAGGTCCCCATTGCCCCATGTAGAGCTTACATTCTCATTGTCAAAGTTATGAAGCGAATGTGGGGGCTTTCCAGGCCAAAACATATCAGGCTGGCAAATAGGAAGAAATTATTTAATGTTAATGATAGTGTGGTTTTGAAGAACTGTGTAGAGCTGCTGGAATAATTCTTTTGGTCATTAGAAACCATGAGACATCCCAAATACGGTGTTTTTAAGTGATTATGTTCCCATGCAGACATTGTATTATCAGCTTTCATCATTATCTATGGTTCTTGCTAAATTCAGAGATCACGTGACAGATAATAGCTTGATAATTCCCTCTCCCTAATCCGTGATACCAAGTTGTTAATGATCACACCCATGGGTGCAGTTTCAGGCACACAGCTTGTTACTTGCCATGCATATCAGACATCTTCTTGAATGCTTAATTTGCAGCACGTTTGCACAGCATCAAAAGGTAATATAACTTTGTGAGGTGTCAAACTACACTTATGGATGTGCAGAATGTGGCGCATCCCTTTTTAAGAGTGCAGGCTCTGCATCATCTCATTGACCCACCGTGTTCAGAACCACATTTAGCATCCAGTCGAATAGAAAATCCATCTTCTCCTCGGCCAGCCAGTGAGAAGTGTAGCAATGTGTGTGGAGAAATAATAACATCAAACTATATTAGAGATCCTCTTTGCCTAGCAGAGAAGGTATTGATTTTTAGAGAAATATTTCAGAAAGTCTGTTCCATGGGCCAATACTTAAACTGCCTCTTTTCTAAGTCCTCAACGGAACATAACAACATTTTAGGCTTTATATAAAGCTTACGGACCTGATTTATTTTTCTTCCATTTTTGTAACACATAGATGTGTAAGTGTGCGTAGGACAGTTTGAATGTGTATTAAATCTCATATTTCCTGACAGAACCTCTGAAGCATTAGATTAAATCCTTGACAAGATCCTTTTAATAACTGTTGAAGAATAACATCCATTTTATTCCCATTCATTTTTTATTGAGGTGCCAACAATTCAATGATTTAATCTGATTTGTATGATTATTAATCTCCATTACTCATACATCCAAAATAATTTTTCAATCTTGTGTGTCTTTTTTAAAGTGGAATTGTAATGAGGCATGGTGATAGTGGTTTATAGGCTCGTTGCAGGCCAGGGGTCAGAGTCATAGAGTGTGTGTGTGTGTGTGTGTGTGTGTGTGTGTGTGTGTGTGTGTGTGTGTGTGTGTGTGTGTGTGTGTGTGTGTGTGTGTGTGTGTGTGTGTGTGTGTGTGTGTGTGTGTGTGTGTGTGTGTGTGCGTGTGTGTGTGTGCGTGTGTAAGTGTGTAATTGTTTGTCGGTGCACGCAGGGTCAGAAAGACAACACATGTGCTGGTGTATAAGTCTCATCTCATGCTTGTGCAAGAATAAGTTAAAGATAGTGACGACATACACACAAACAAATACACACACACTCACACATAAAGAGAAAGACAAGTTTACTGAGTGAGTCCCGAGGCCCAGAGAGAGTGTGAGGAGAAAAGGAGGGAGGGAGAAAAGGCTGGAGAGAAGACTGCAGGTTGGAACCAATTAGGACAGGAGAGGATCCCTCCACCTGCACTGCGGGGCCCCCGGGGGAGAGCCCTAGTGACAAGATGAGGGATCATCATCATTACCATTATTTATTTGCTAAGCAGAGGCCGACTCTGGGGCCAATCCTAATAGAATTTGTGAATTACAATGAGCGTCTTGTTTTTGGGGCACGGAAGATGCTTGAGGAGGAGGGGAGGGTTAATGCATGGATAAAAGCGAGCATTTGGAGACATCAGCAGCACATGTTCAAATAAATGCCTTTTAATCAATTATGCACAGCTATTACAAGCTCCCCTAGCATCAATACTATATGTGGTGTCCCTGTTCAGTATGTGTACAGAAGTGAGGTCAAACTATCCCCTGAAATCTATTCTGTTTATTCAGGTGATTACTATTGAATTCATATACGACCATGCAAACATATCCATAGCATTTCAGTCATATTATTTTGTGTACTGTATTCAAAATAACAGCCCAACTTTTTTCCGTGCCACCTGATTTCTTCAGTGTTGTTTACTTCTCTTTACTATCCCAGATTTATTGGGTATTTCTATTTGTAGAAATGTATTCTCTTTTGCATTTTGTAACTGTCATTTATCAGGTCACTACAGTCCCTGTCCACTAAAAAGTGTGTGCCCATTCATTGAGGCATATGATATTGGGCTGACTTGTTGTAATAAAATATATTTTTTTGTATTTGACTAAGTCTTTGACAAAGTGCTACTCATATTTCAAATCAAAAGTTTCCTTTAAAACTATTAATGCAATGTTTGGGAAAGCATTTATAGAAAGAAAATCTGTCAACCAATTTGCAGAGAACATCTGTGCTTAAGGGAGGGACTCACAGTCAAAGTTTCATTTTTGTATTTACTTATTTTTAAACTAACTGTGATGCATTCTCCTAAAAATGTAACAGGCTGAGTGTTCCAATCCTTTAAGTGCTTTTTGTTTAATTATGTAAAGTCATTTTATTGTAGATGGCCAACATGCATTTAGGCAATAGTCGGCCTACACGTTCAAATGAAAAGAGCAAATGAAAAGGAAACAAACAGCAGCATTGTCTGCTGAACATATTCTGAAAGAAAAATATCAAAAGCATTGTGAACTAGTTCAAGTGCGACTAAGCACCATTTAACTACACACGCACAAATATACTGATATCAAACATGTTAATAATGATACATACAAAATATATGAACGAATATATACATGAATAATAAATACACGTCAGGGCTTTGGGGGGAACGGAAGCAGCGGAACACACAGGTGTTGTAATTAACGTAACAGGAAGTGCCTGGCTGCTTAAGTGGAGTCAGCTAGAAGTTTACTAACTTCAAAAAAGTTTCATATTTGTGTTTATTAACCCAACTAATACACTACTAGCAGATAGGCTAGAACTAGCGAGACAGATTAAGTCGAGGTGAGAATAAAAAGTTGGATAAATTAGTCGAGTTTGTTGATAGATATCATGTTATGCTAAGCTAACAGTGCTAACAACGGCGAACGTCATTTTCTACCTGCCGCTGGAATTCCTCAAACTGACAGTCCGAGACATTAACTGTAAAGTGCTGTTCACATTGTAAATTAAGGTAAATTGTTCTTGTTAACGCCATGCTACTTATGTAAAATCTGTAATTGTCAAGGGAGAGTCTAAAACATTCATTATACATTCATTTTTCACGGCGTGAGAGGACGCTGGCGCTGACTGATCGCCGCTTCTCTGTCCGAAAATCTCGTCTTTCTTTGTGTTAATCTAAGAGTTTCTGACCACTTTCTACTGCTATAGTTTTCTAACTATTCTGTGGCTTTTGTGTTCTGATCTGGACATATTTGTTACACCCGATTGCCATTTTTGACGGACGCTTTGGTTTTCTACCCTGCTACACCTGCCATTGTAGCCCACCTGCTAACGCTAATTGCTAACGCTGCTCCATCCAGCGTCATTCTTCGTCCTGCCCCTCCCCGTGGGCCCTGACTCTGGTTCTTTAAACCTCCCGCTCCTGCCGGTCCCCCCATCTGCTGTAAAGGACAGCCTGCAACTGACCTCTCATCCTGTCTGACGGCTGCCAACAGCTCCACTTTCAG